ATCACTTTTTCAAGTCTTTGGGAGCCATGAAAGATTAATGTCAAAAATAGAAGCTCTGGTAGATTTTTGTATACACAAGTTTTCTATGCTTGTCTGTAGATATATGTAGCTAGAAGGAATCTTACAAGGCAGGAAGCCTGTGGTTGAAACAAAGCTGGTGGTCTGAACCTTAAAATGTCAGGATGGAGCAACTGCCCTTGCTTGGACCACAAGTCACCAGTGGCTGCAAAGTGACAGTTTTCTCTCTGACCAAGACTCATAGCGAATTATGAACATTTACTAGAAATTCCCCCCAATTCACAAACCAGGTTTGTATAGAAAGATTATTCTGCAAACAAATCACAGTATGTGGGGATTTCCTGAGGGGAGGAAGCTTGAAATTCATTTATTACTCTGCCAATAAAATATATTTAAACCAGCAGCCTTACTTTTAAGGTGTTGTATTAATTCCCTTTTAGGATATAAGGCCTGAGATCAAATTTATGTATGTATGTAGTTTTGTTGTTCATGCAATTCATAATGATAAATGAAAAGGAACTTGTGTTGGGGAAAATACTCATCCACAAGCAATGCCTCTATTCTATCTATGACAGCTTTAAGATATTTGTGGCCAAGGGGGCTCTCTAACTTTTATTGTCCCTACCTTCATACAAGTCACTAGAAAACTCAATATAGTTTTCCATTATTTGTTCTCCGTGACTGATTAGTATCAGTTTGGAAAAAACAAAAAGGTAACAATACATTGCTTGTTGCATATCGCAGGTGGAGGCTTTGTGTTGTTTCCAGCCAAGAAATTACATTGTTTGATTTTCATTTGGACTCTTTTATATTCCAGGTCCCTCTTGTGGTGGAAAAGAGGAAATAAATGTAAAAGCCTGTTCTAAAAACATGAAGCATCATAGGTCTAAAAATCAACTGTAAACTGCAGAATTTGTTGTGATGTTTGTTACAAATAAGTTTTGCAGAGCATTGTTTTTTTGGTTTTTTTTAGGTTTCAAGTTACTGAAAGCAGAATAATAACAATTGCTCTCTGGATTCTGGATTTTTCCCATTGTTTTTCTTTTTATGTTCATACTCTCTTTAGTACTATTACCTTGCCCTATATTATTTTATTTCCATAAGCTTATTGTTATTTTTTTTTAAAAATGAAGGCATTTCTCCTTACAACACAGTAAACATTCAAAATCATTGGATGTTTAAAAAGATCTCTTATGGAAATCTTAAGAAACGTAGAGGATGGTGAGAGAAAACATCATATCTGGATGTATTTTGGGGGGAAATAGTCTCTAGAAATTTCACAACATTTTGTTTACTATAGAAGGCTTACCTGACATGGCTGTTTCATTTCACATAGCATCTTCTTTTTGTGGTGTAGAAAGGGACACCTATTCCTTTCACATTATTTCAGCCTCTGGTTCCAAATCTTTTATTAAAGTAGCAATGCCTAGTGATATTTATTTATTTATTAACAGCATATATATTCCGCTCTTCTCACTCTGAAGGAGACTCAGGGCAGATCACAGAAGACATACAAGGCAATCATTCAATTCTGTTAAACAGACAGGACAGACAACAGATAGAGATACATGTTGTTATTTTTGCCCAACTTCTGCATCCTGGAGGTTTTGCTCGATTCTGGCCACAAGGGGGTGCTGCCGCTCCATCCTATATGACAAACAGCCCTTGATCATAGTCTTAGTCCTTCCTTTGATTGCTTTTATTTATCGTGTCATCAGCAACCAGACATTTGTATTACATTTTTAACAAAAAACAAACAGACAAAACACAGAATTTGCAAGCTTGGTAGTTGATTAATTGTCCTTTGACCAGGAGCTGGCCACTTGGAGTACCTCTGGTGTTGCCACAAGGAGGTCCTCCATTATGCATGTAGCAGGGCTCAGGTTGCGTTGCAGCAGGTGGTCTGTAGTTTGCTGTTCTCCACACTTGCATGTCGTGGATTCCACATTGTAGCCCCATTTCTTAAGATTGGCTCTGCGTCTCGTGGTGCCAGAGCGCAGTCTGTTCAGCGCCTTCCAAGTTGCCCAGTCTTCTGTGTGCCCAGGGGGGAGTCTCTCATTTGGTATCAGCCATTGATTGAGGTTCTGGGTTTGAGCCTACCACTTTTGGACTCTCACTTGCTGGGGTGTTCCAGCGAGTGACTCTGTAGATCTTAGAAAACTATTTCTTGATTTAAGTCGTTGATGTGCTGGCTGATACCCAAACAAGGGATGGGCTGGAGATCCTTTGATTGCTGGCATTTTCTGGTATTTCTATTTTATGGTGCTGTAAAATACATCCCTGCTTAAGTGGTGCCTAATTTCTATTCTCACAACTCACAGCTGTTTTCAAACTAATTAGGTGGACAGTGAGCTGGGCTGAATGTCGGGTGCTCACCCTGACCCGGGCTTCAAACTGCCAACCTTTTGATTGGTGTGATCTATTGCTGCTGGAGATTAACCAGCTGTGCTAAAGCCCGGCCCCATACACTTGTTTCATTAACTAACGTCCACCTTTATAGCAGACTTGACTAACAAGTAAAACTGAGTAACAATTTTAATCCTGATATGCAAAGATCCCTGCAGTTTGAGGAAATGTAAAAAGTATTATTCATTTTATCTTCACGAGAAAAAAAGGACTCTTAAAATATTCCTTTCAACTACTATTACATTTGATAGCATGTGCATTCAATTGTTTGGTTCATCCCTGAATTCTAAGGTGTTTAGAAAAGAGAAGATTCTCACATACAGTATAAAAATGGGTTGTAAGTTGCTCTGTCTTTGGCTTAGCTTATTCTTAGATCCCTGTTTTAGATTCACGGCAAACAGTAATTTCTGAGTTTCAATTTAATAGACATCATATTTCTTCATACGTTTTAGCTATGCAAGTATATCCTTTTGTACCATAGCAGATTTTACAATGCGTCAAGCCCTTACAGCTCAGTTAATGGCAGTAGTCACATTATTAGCTGTTTGTACCCAGAACATTTGACATAAATGCTCTAGTTATGCACTTTAGACAAGCATTATTATACCAAAATAGAATAGAATTTGCTGGAGGGTGGATTACGACCAACTGTGTTTTATGGCAGGCCCACTGCAAAACATTTCACTGCCTGAGATGAAAGACCAAATGATGTATCTGTATTCCATGTGCTGAACTTGGCCAGGGTTACAACTGAATCCAAAACATTGCTCTACACGTCTACAAGTCATATGCTTATAGTGCTAACTCCTCTATGTAATTGTATAGCTGGAGGTGATAAGGATGCACAGTCTATACATGAATACACTGGGGTATGAAGAGAGGGCCAGTGGGTGCAATCCATTCTCTGAATGATATGCTTGGCCAAAGGCAGCTACTGGCTTCCATTCCAGAGAGAAAGCAAATATAATTAAAGTTTTAGCAGGGAAGAGGCCATCCAAAATACCAAAGCTGTTTTGGCTCTTGGGTTTAGCACCTTTGATACCTAAATTATAGTCTGGATTAAAACCCAGAGTAGAGAAACCATTCAGTCACATGGAAGTCACCAGTGTGCTTGAGAGAATAGAATAAAGGGAGGCACAGATACCTAGAAGAAGAAGAAGTTTAGTACTGGGGGTAGAGTGGTTAATTTATCCCCTTCTCTGAAATGTTTGTTTGTGAATATATATATGAAATTTATGTTCAGTTTTCTGAAAATTATTTTAAACTATTTAAGATTTCAAAGAAAAAACAGCGGTGGGAGATTTTGTCCAAGTAAATAACCTTTCAAAGATCTCTAACAGATGAATGCAAACAGACAAAAGAAACAGAGAATCTTAAAATAATTTCTTCAATTCACTTCCATCTCCAGGCTACAAAAGCTTTGTGAGGCAGAGCATTTGTAAACTGGGATATTGAAGCAAACCACATTTAGCACAAAACCTATGATTTGTAAATAAACTTAAGATCTGATTTCAAATCCTTACTTGTTGGCCTATGGTTTGTGGAATAGCTCAGACTGATGTGGTTCAGTTCGTCTTGGAGGAGGTGGGGTTCGCAGATTCTTTTTGCAATGTCTGCCAGGGCTTTAATGTTGCTTCTTTTTTTACCTGTGTGATGGTTGGAGTTTTTATGTAGGTATCTATCGATGTGAAGACAATTAGAGAAGACAATTATGCTGGGGAAAATGGAAGAAAAAAGGAAGAGGAGCCGACCAAGGGCAAGATGGATGGATGGCATCCTTGAAGTGACTGGCTTGACCTTGAAGGAGCTGGGGGTAGTGACGGCTGACAGGGAGCTCTGGCGTGGGCTGGTTCATGAGGTAACGAAGAGTCGGAAGTGAATGAATGAATGACAACAACTATCCATGTGTGGTTTTCTGTAAACTGTGTGACCCAATTGTTGATCTGTTTTGCGGATGACTAGGACATCTAGAAAAGGACGTTTTCCTTCATTTTCTTTTTCCATGATGAATTGGATGTTTGGGTGGATGTTGTAAACGTGGTCCAGGAACCTGTTTAATTCTTCTTCTCCATGCCATCCACATATCTGAACCATATATAGTGGGCTTTTTGTTGCTGTTTCCAGGGCTCAGGTTTATGTTGCAATGTATCTTTAAAAAGTCCTGATTTTGCACTGTGAATGAACCCAGCCCAAGTTGGAAATGGGTTCAAGACAAAATTAATTACTTAAATCCCAGTGCAACTACGCTGTGAAACATTTAGATTTAGAAAGGCACCTATACCCCTTCCAGCAAAATTAGTTGTTATTTAGATGCATCAGTTGAAGCGAGTCCATGACATGCGAATGTGGCCAAAGGCAGCCAAAGATGGTTTTAAACAGTGTATTTTAATATTGAGATAAATGTTTTTAATGTTTATGTTTGCATATAATCAATTCTTGTCCCAGCATTGAATGTTTGCCATATATATGCTGTACTCCGCCCTGAGTCCCCTTCGGGGTGAGAAGGACGGAATATAAATGTTGTAAATAAATAAAATAAAATAAATACAATGAAGTCTGAGCCCTGCCACATTTATTTATTTATTTATTTCAAACATTTTTATCCCATCCTTTTCAACCCCCGAGGGGAGACTCAGGGCAGCTTACAACTGGCAGTCATTAGATGCCAACAAACAAACAATTGCAGTACAGACAATTAACATTAAATAAACCAACAAATTATAAAAAATACATTTTAAATACATTAAAATATTGACCATTAAAGTATTAAAACACAAGCAAGCCGAAGTCCCCAAATCCAAATCATAATCCAGAGGTTCAATCCAAGGTCTAGTCATATGTACAATGGAGGACCTTCTACAGCAATACCAGAGGCACTCCAAGTGGCCAGCTTCTGGTCAAATGACATTTAATATAATGCCTAGTTTTAATCTTTGTTTGTGGTTTTTCTGTATGTTATAACTGTATACTCAATTCGCTTCTGACACAATAAATAAATAAAAATAAAATGAAGCATGACTAAGGCAATGCACTATTTATAACAGGGTTGGAAATTATATGATTCTCTCAGAAGTTATTGAATTAAAAGTAGCCGCATTCTTCATTATTGGCTGTGCTGGGTACAGGATCTACTGAATGTATTCTAGAGAAGCTCTTCTTTGTTTGCTTTAACTGGCATGATGGAGAATTATGCCAAAACGGATATCCAGTGCTCCTCTAGATTTCTGGTCTCAGCTTACCATGGAACTACTTTGAAGTTTTGGCAAGTTCAGTCTGAACTCAAAGCAGACTAAACTTCCTTTCAGACCTGGTACTCTGATGGTGAGCCATGGGCCAACCATCCCACACAGACGTCTCAGAATCTAACAGAAGGAAGTTCATCCAACTCATGACTTCATCTTTCTGTTACAAATCTGTTTGCTCTGGAGGCCAACAATAACTTTATGTGCTGACAAATACCAAAATACTGCCGAGTGAAGCCTGGGTTCTTGCAAAAGGAATTGCTGTCTTTTCCTCCACTCAGGAGGAAATGCTAATAAGGGGCTTGAGATCCAGAACAGTTACTCATCGACCCAGGAGAGAAGACTTCTGGCCCAGCTGGCCTTGGCTGGAAGGAGTGCTGAGTTCAGCAAAAAGGAGCCCCAAGCGAATCATACATCCCCATAATCATTCATGATCGCTCTAGCTAATTAGAAATACAAAAATAACATGAGGATAATTTCTGCCAACACGTAAGAGCATAAAGGATTTTTTTTAACTATCTGGAAACAAAACCTTTCAAATGAGTGTTGCAAAATATTTTTTACCCTCATTTCAACACTTTGAACAAGTTTCAGGGCTGAACACAGTAGCCAAATGACCAATGCCTGACTACAGTACTTTTCACTAGGTCCCAAGGGGGTCCTCATGAAACCCCAACTTTTGCCATCAATAAAGGAAAACACTATGAACAGGACCAAAGTAACCAGTCCATTAGCACAGCTACCAGAGCTGGCTGAAGACATTTTTTGTTTGAGAAAGGGCTATAAAGGGCAGCACATCCTCACTCAGGATATGTAGTATCCAACCATTAATTAATACCAATAACAGTTTCTCAAGTTTGGTTAGCATCTCATGTGGTACCTTTACAAGTTACGTTTAAAGCAAAAACTTTAGTTCAGGTAACACAGACACCTTTAAAAAACTAGAGCCCAGACATAGGTAACTAAGTCCAGTTATACATTCATATAACTAAGAAAATGTAGTTCCATTTGAACAATTTTGATTATATAGTTATTTTTTGGATTTCCAAGGCTGCTTCATGGATGTGTATGAGGAATTACGATTCCTATGTATGGGCAGTCCCCAAGTTATGAACAAGATAGATTCTGTGGGTTTGTTCTTAAGTTGAATTTGTATGTAAGTCAAAACAGGAACATTTTTAAGTGTAACATAGTTAACACCTCTATGGCATTTGTTTTTCTGTCTGTGCCCGTTCGGAAGATTTCACCTCATTTTCTGTCCCTCTGTCAAATGGAAAATTTGATTTGTTGTGAAAACAAGGATTGGTGATGAAGCTTCAGTGGAGACACCTTTTACCCATGATAATTCTTTAAGGAATGAATTTCCTTTCCTAGAGGTAGATTTCGCTCACGTCCTGTTGTCTCACCCTCTTTCTTAGCAGCTTCCGGTAGCGCAATGGGTTAAACCCTTGTGCTGGCAGGACTGAAGATTGACAGGTTGCAGGTTCAAATCCCAGGGAGAGTGTGGATGAGCTCCCTCTGTCAGTTCCAGCTCCCCATGTGGGGACATGAGAGAAGCCTCCCACAAGGATGATAAAACATCAAAACGCCTATATGTCCCCTGGGCAATGTCCTTGTAGACTGCCAATTCTCTCGCACTGGAAGCAACTTGCTGTTTCTCAAGTCACTCCTGACATGGAAAAAAAACCCCTTTCTTCATTATGAGTCATTTGTAAGTTGGATGTTTGTAACTCGGGGACTGCCTATATTGGGAAAATGATGTTCTTAAAGGGATCTCAGATTTAACCAGAAATTATCTGCCTTCTGTTACCATACTTACAATTTCAGATTTATCTTTATCCCTGTCCCCAAATTTGTTCAAAATCACAAAGAACAAGTATCGCAGAGAATCCAACAACAAATTTGACACACCAAGGGCAGTATTATCAGCAAAAAAGTTTACCACAACTTTTTGTTTATTAAAAAGGTAACTGATAGTTCCTGGTCTGAACCATGGCTAAATGCTCAGTGGTCAATTTGGTTAGCCTTGGCATATGCCACAGTCATACTGATTGGGGCACATCACCAGAACAGCTGATAGCTGGTTGGGAACTAAATAAAGATTATAAATGTTAAGCTATTTAAGCTATCAGTACCCATCTTAACACGTTTTATGTAGGAATTTTCAATGTACCGTAATTAAATGTTTTTGACATATCAAAAGAAATAATATGCTCTGTATATTTTATTATATCACTCAAAAGATGTCATATTGGGTCAGAGATGTAGCATTTGCCCTTTCATGACACTTAAATCTGCTGCTTGATGAGGCTGCTTCATTCTATCTAATGGAAAAGTTGATCCTGCTAGCAACCAGGTTTTGAAAGGCAACATATGTAGAGGATACAACATATTTTAAACATCAGTGGGGAACTTCCAGAAAGACAGTATTTACCCTATATTTGTTATTCCTTCCTAACAAGGAGCTAGATATTCCTGTTCCGAAATTTCCCTATCCCAAACTGTCACAAATGCATCAAGAAGAAACAAAGTGTGAGAGAAGGGATTTTATGTCTTTGTGTATATCCATTTTCTTTATTTCAGCTGCTGCTTCCTGGGAGTTATTTTCAAAGTAGTCCAACTTGGCAGCGTTCCAGGGTTTTGTTTTTGTTGTTTGGATGGAGATCCCACAGCTGTTGTTAAAATAAGGGAGGGAGAAAGAAGAAGAAATAATTCCTGTTACCCATCTTTGGAATGGGAAATTTAATACTATTCAGCTGATTATTATTGTTTTTTTGATGACATTTGCATGTGTTTTAATGTACTTTCTCATTTAAATTTTATTATTCTGATTATGAGTAGTCTGTTCAGATCTGAAATCATAAGAATCTCAAAATTAGGAAACAATTTATCTGCTGGTTTTCTTATTTTTTATCCCAATTACTGGAGCTGCTGAGTGTGTTTGTGTACCACAAAGTTTTATAGCAGGTGTTTTCCAGTCCTTTGGAGCTGTAGCATCCCTAATGCTGTCATTGAGGCCCCTGTTGCTTTCCTCTAGTTTAGAGAATTCACAAAACACATGAAGATCATCAACTCTTATGACAATTCCATTTTGGAGCCTTCTCTATGTTCAAAAGTGGGTTTCAGGAAGAGACTATAAATCCCTTAGGCTTGAGTGCTACTTGTTAAACTGTGGATCCTGACTCCAATTGGGATCCTTTTAGCTCAGTGGTTCTCAACCTGTGCTAACAGATTTGGGTGGTATTCAGAAATCTTTTACTGTTGCTAATTTTTTGCGACTGACATTGAGCTAAGCCTGCAGTGGTTCTCAATGTATGAGTCTCAAGGTGTTTTGGCCTACAACTTCTAGAAATCCCAGCCAGTTTACCAGCTGTTAAGATTTCCTGGTGTTGAAGGCCAATAACATCTAGGAACACATAAGTTGAAAACCACTGCAGGCTTTGCTCAATGTCAGTCACAAAAGAATTAGCAACAGTAAAAGATTTCTGAATGCTACCCAAATCTGTTAGCAATCTGTGGCGTTTATAGTGAACTCTGCAGAAAATGCTTCAACTACACTCCACAAAAAGAAAAATCAGCCTTCTTAGCAAGTTTTGCAAGTGCTGATTTATGATAAGTAAATGTTTGGTTTTTATACCTATTTTATGTACCTATATTATCTTGGGTCAGGTAAGAAGTTATTGGGCAGAAAGGGGTTGCAAGTGGAAAAAATTTAAGAAGCCTTGGACTACAATTCTACACACTCCTTGGCCAAATGTGGATGGGGATCATCAGTCCAAGTTTAATTGCTTAATTATCCACTTTCAGAGCAATTTTTGACATGTTTTATCACTACTGGTCAGAAACCATTTGAAATACCAGCATTAGCTGAATGGAGACAAACACTGCCATTCCCTCTCTGAAGGATGTAGAAGCCTGTTTGCCTTATATAGAAAACTGCTCTGTTATCAGGTGGCCCATTGTGCATATAGAAATGCAAAAGTAATACCATGCATGTCTAGGCTCTTAAAACTCAAATGTAATAGCCCCACTGCTAGTGAACGAGAAAAGGAAGACATCTGGGGAGGAGGCTGCAAGGGATTTAGAAATTAGCCATACCCTGGCAGACTGCAGACACAAATCTTTCTGAGATGGCCTTCCAATCCCAGCTGCTTACAGTGCCAGCAAGTGGGGATTAAGCACCCAATTTGCTTCTTAATGCAGAGGGATTTGAGCCCCATGTAGCCAAACAGCTGCCGGGGAGGCGGGGAGACTCAGTTGAAGATGGGTCCTATCTCGGCAGTGGAATGTAATTTCACCCCTTGCAAATCCTAGATTTTCACATGGAAATGGTTTTTGTGAGCCTGGCTCACTGTCTGTAGCCAGAAAGGGAGCACTGAATGTAACATGACCAACTATTGAGGAAAGTGCAGCAGGTTGGGAGACTGTACTACATGAAGTCTCTGTAGTCATTATAGCTTGGCAAGAAGTTAAAATGAATTGGAAGACTGAGTTTACATGCACTTTGGCAGAGACAGCCAAAGACAATTTGGCGTGTACCACATTCCACAGACAAAAGGCTTTGCAGGGTTGTTGTGAGGGTAAAATGGGAGAGGAATAATGTATGCTAACTGTAGTTCCTTAGAGAAAAGTTAAGCTATAGAAATAATCCAAATAAATAAATGATATGTTTAAATCTAGGGGGTTTTTTTTAAAAAAAACTTTTTCTGTTGCCTTTGAGGATTTTATTGTGTGTGGCTGCAATGCTGATCCAGTTTGCACTCTTATATTTAAACTGATGGTTGCAGGGTAAAGTAATCACACTGATAGTGATCCTTTGTTTTGTAGTAATGGGGAGAACCAGAGTGAAATACTATTGGTGAAACTTAAAGAAATATTTGATCCTCTTGACTCTACACAAAACATGTTATTCTACGTATTGTGGCTTAGTGGCGAAAGTTACCTTCTTCCATAACCACTCAAATCAAGAAGAATAAAAGTAAATGGGTTTTGCAGTAAGCCAGACTGAATTTAAAAATGTGTTGGATTCAGATCTCAAAATGCTGTCAGGATCACTGAGGCATGCTAATCGTCACCTGTCACAAATAGCTGGAGCTTCCAATATGTGCTTCACGTAGAACTGCAGAAGACTGAAACAATTGTATTAACCTCCCAGGTTCTGCCACTAAAATATACAATGAAGCCAATTCCATCAATGGCGTTGCTTGAAAGTGGATATCAACATTTTGAATGATGAGCTACAGAAATTCCTCAAACAAATGCCTGGGTGAGGCTTCAGCAATCCAGCTCCCAAACCTCAATCAATTGCATGAAAATGGACAGAGACCTAAGAATGAAGCGAGGGTATTTCAAAACTTAATACCCACACTCTAAATTAGGCCTGCACAACTGGTGGCCTTCCTGGTGTTTGGGCCTCCAACTCCCAGAAGCCTTACTCAGCTTGTCCAATGGACAGGAATTCTGGGAAATGAGGTTCAAAACACCTGGAGGGCCACCAATTGTGCAGGTCTGCTCTAAACGTAAATACACTCAAATGTGTCCAGCCAATGGACATACAGTTTGTTACTTAAGCAAACGTTGTATAAAAGAATGAGGCAACACTAAAAAACTTGGGTGGAGTGATGATGGGGAACATGAGCTGGTTATGTTTGAAAATTTACCTTAAGATTCAATGGGGAAAGGTGTAGCATCACTGGTCCTTGAGAGATGACACAACAAGCATTAGTTGAGATGGGGCCATTGTTGTTTGGCTGTTTCTCATGCAGAATGGATTTCCTCAGAAGCCATGTTGCCCACTGACAAAACATTTATGCTTTAAAAATAGTCTTGATTGCCTTGTTTTTATTGGCTTTCCTTTTTGTATTTAAATTGTAAGCTTACAAAAATCGAGTTGATTGTTTTCCTAATATCTGAACAGAACCTGGACATTAGAATGAAAAATTAAGTGCTGACTGCTTCTATTGTCACTGTTACCGTCATCCCTCCCTTAATAATATGTGTTAGCAGTAAGGCAGGTATGTGTTAATAATGCCTAAAAATACCTAGCACTAAATTAACATATATGGCAGCACTAGAGGATTTAGCTCTTGGCACAAATGTACTAGTTTGCACTTCTTGCATTATTCCTAGTGATACCTTCCTTTTACAAAGTGCTTTGTGCCAGACAGGAATCACAACCGAAAGAGATAGATCACTTTGCTTCCTTCATGTCTACTCTGTTTATAGACTCATTGGCTAGATTAAATCACAGTAGTCAGGTAGTGTCACTAGTGCTTGCAACAAAAGTGGAAACAAAGACCATAGAAACAAAATGAAAAAAATTCAAAGCCTTACCATGTAGGTTGAGAATTAATGGAAAGTGTAGTACCTGGAATAACACTGACTGTGAAAATAATTTAACAACATCCTCCAAAGCACTTCTTTAACTGGACAGACAAAGGTGCAATACACAAAAAAAGTCTCTCCTGAGCTTATATCAAAAAGAAAATAATTTAGACCAGTATCAAATGTTACAAATGAAAAAAAAATCCTCAAATGACTAATCAATGATATAATTTAAGGAACAAAGTCCCCAAATATATTTTGGAAATTACTTTTGGACATAAATAATAATAATGATAAAAACAACTGTGACAATATTTCTATTCTTGAACAGATAAGTGTTCAGACTTATTAATGGTGCAGCACAATCCAGGGTTTTTTGTTTTTTGTTTTTTGAAAATGTCTTTAAGAAGGGTTTACTCCTTATTAGATATAGTCCAGATTTCTATTTAAACCACCAAGTAAAGTAACAAACTCTGTCTCCATAGTAATGTGCATGGCAGTTTAAGCTATGTGTCCCTATTTCGCAGGGAAGACAGCTACTCCGTTTCTTTGCTAACCTCTGCTCAGATTTAGCAGTTTCAACCGTTCAGCAGGAGGAGTTGCAAAATAGGTTTTCTGTTCTTCTGAATACTTTTCCTTCACTTCAATAACGTCCCGGTAGCTCCAGTCCTGCCAGTGGAAATTGAATTTCTCCAAGAGTTCTATTCTTTCTTTCTCTGTTCTCACACAATCAACAGGATCATTCTGGAGCAAGAAGGGCACCTCCACATCTGGGAAAACCAGAAGAGCCCGGATAGCAAACCAACCTCCATAACGGGGGTGGATGCACACACCAAAGATCTTCTGAAGAGAAAGAAAAACAAATTGAATATAAAGAAAGGCAAATTGAACCTAAAGGCATGAGGTCATTCTGTACTAAAAAGGCAAGATGTTACAGGAGATAAATATGACCAAGATGTTTAGCAAGCTCAATTTTAACGTAACATGCCATTTAGTAAAAGGATTTAGGCTAGGTTGGCTCTGTTTACAGCACACTTCAGCCCTTGGGTTCATGAATTTTTGCCCTTACACACAGAAGGCAAAAAAAAAAAAACCTTAAAAGTTTCAAATGAAGAGAAAGCATCATCATTTTATGGTTTACATACATGCCCACCACTTTGCCCTCTTACAACTTTTTGCCAGCTTTTGGAATCAATGCTATTTCTCATGTCATAGATAGAATCTCACCTTCTCTCCCCAAGGATCCTGTTGCACATCTTTCCTCTGGTAATAGTAAGCAGCACCAGATATATGTGCCGCTGTTTGGGCTAAGAATTTTGGCTTTCGATTGGGCAGCATTTCATAGTCATACATGATGTCCACTTGGTAGTCAGCAAGGCTCTGAAAGTAAGAAAATGTACAAGAGATTCTCATTGTCTCCCATAAAAATAAGCCCAGGATAGGATGCGCTGTCAACAATCACAATGCAACCATATGTATACACATGATTATGTGTTCCTGCATTCCAGAGGTTTGCTATGCAGATCTCTTCTAATTGATTATACGATCTGACTTCAGACTGATGTTTCAACAAATGTTAGGCTGATTACAAATTTTCTGGCTTTATTTTATGGATGTGTATTTATTCATTTTTTTAAAATCTATTTCATAGAATCATAGTGTTGGATGACACATCCCCATAGTAATTTGCTGCCTCCAGTATTAAAGGAAATCCTTTTTTGTGTGTTAAAATTTCTAATTTTATTGTATATACAGGTGACAGCAAAAACAAAAATTACAATAACTAGCAAAACATATACATTATAACATCCTAACAAATCTTTTCCCTCTTCCACTATGAAAGGAAATCCTGATCTAAATATCTACAGTTGGAAACAGAAGACTGGACTAGTCAAGAGTTTTACCATGGTGTCCAGCAGAGTTGCTCTTTACATTTTAACTACAGAAGTAAACAATGTCTTAAAATGACTTACCTCTCGAAGCAGTAAGAGGTGATGAGAAATACATTGATCTACTGGGTCATGAATCTTTTTCAGCAGGTGCTTCTTCAAGAATGGTTTGAAGGCTTTTTCAAACATCGCAGGAACACTAACTACCACAAATGCCAGTGTGTTCTCTGAGTAAGGCAAATGAAAAGCTGGAGGAAGGACTGCATTGTACCATCCTACCTACCAGAAAAAAGCAAACAAATACATTATCATTAGAAGATGTGGCCTGAATTTTTGGACTCGATACGGTTGCTGTTGGAGCAATGCAGACAATGGATCCACACAGAGAAAATAATTGTATAATGTTTTACAGGGAATAACTCCCAGTTATCCTTGGTTGACATGATAGTATGCTGATTCTATCCCAGAAACCCAGATCAGTGGACAAAAACCATGTGTTACCAAGAGATGTATCATTTTTATATTGTTTTCAAAATATTCAGGTTTCTCTGGGTCTTACCTGAATAAGTCTAAGACAAAGAAGCAAAGGGTGTGTGTGTGTGTGTGTGTGTATTGCTTATCTGTATAGCACCGGGATTGTGGCGCAGCTGGCTGAGTGTCAGCTGCATTAAGATCACTCTGACCAAAAGGTCATGAGTTCGAAGCCAGCCCGGGCTGGAGTGGGTGTCCAGCCATTGTGTAGCCCGTTGTCGACCTTTGCAACCCGAAAGACAGTTGCATCTGTCAAGTAGGAAAATAAGGGACCACCTTGTGTGGGAGGCTAAATTTAACTAATTTATGAGGCCATAAAGAAAAAAGACTCCGGGGAATGTGGAATGCGGAAGAACTTCATCGGTGTCGTTGATGGACGATGAAAAGCAGCAGCTCCCCTGGCGGCCAGAAAAAAGTTAAATAGCCTGTTGTCTGTTAAATGTTGTTTGTCAAACTGGCATTGAATGTTTGCCATATATGTGTTTACTGTAATCCGCCCTGAGTCCCCTGCGGGGTGAGAAGGGCGGAATATAAAAGCTGTAAATAAATAAATAATAAATAAATAAATTATCTAGTAACTGATCCCAAATATGATAATTATAAATAAGAGAGAAAGGGAATTCTGCAAGCCGTTAGTTGTGTTCACACAACTCGATCTCAGTTTAATAAGCTGAGATATGAGCATGCCTTTTGTTCAAACACCTTGTTCCTATCTTTTCCATTCTTCCTGGCATGTTTTAAATGAAATGCAGACGTCTTCAAAGTTTTCCATTTTACCCAACTTGGGAAACCAGCTTTAAAAGAAGCCAAGATCTTTAATCCTTTTCAAACATTTTTTAAAATAACATTATTATGCTAATTTTCATTTCTATTGCCAGGAGAAAAAAAAGTAAGCTTTTACGAGCTGGAGTCAATTAATTTAGAGTTCACCGTCCAACTTCTGATACATGGTAATGACACACCATGTCTGCTCCTTATGATGTCATAAAAGTTGTGAACAGTAGCATGCAAAGGCAATGGACTTTCAGTTTAGCCATGTGAGTTGTGCTCAAAGATCAGGAACTGGAAGGCAGAAGAAGCAGCAGAGGTCATGAGCAGGAGATCACAAACAGAGTTCTGGAACTGCTACATGGAGACAGGTAAGAGTTAATGTGAATGCTGTTTTTATGCATACTTATAACTAGGAGGTCAACTAGATACAGCGGTGACAGTTTTGTATATTTCCATATATAAACACTGCAATCATGCAGAAAGATAGAGGAAGGAGGTGGGATTTGATCTGAATATCCACAGTGTGTGTTGGAGAAGCACAGAGCTCATGCCACCTCTCCCATTTTCCTCTCTATAGCCCTCTGCTATGGGTACGACTCACAGAGTCAAGGTGAACTCTGGTATTGAAACTCAGCTGATAGAAAAAAAACATCTACAGAGAGAGAAAAACTGCAGAAGGAGGAATGATTCTGCACTCTTTGTCCACACACTCTTTTTTTGCAATTACAAATCAGACACACACCACTTTGACAAAATAACTGGGGCTTTTCTGTATTAAAGAAATAAGTCCACTTCTTTTGCATCTCATTTGACCCTACATTCCACTGAGTTTTCTTCCTAAGAAATGTATTTAGGTTTGCAGTATTAGCATACTCCAAAGTTTAAAGGTTATTTTGCCAGAAAATCATTCAAGCAAAATGAAAACTCCTGTGTATGGCTGAAAAATAGTTAATATGAATGTATCCCCTCTCAGTAGTGGAAACTGATTGGCTTTACTTTGCCCTCTGTTGACAAAAACTCCTGCACGTATGCTCTTATTATACATGAACAAGTTTTCATTTGCTCAAAGTATAAAGTCAATTCAAGGGTAAGTTGGGCTACATACACAAGCTAGCATTACAAGTTAATTAGAACTAAAGAGCCAGACGCCTCCCACAAAGTAAACAGCGCTTCTCAAAAGTATTATTATTATTATTATTATTATTATTCACATAAGCAAGTAGCTATATTTGTCACAGCTTTGGACAAACATTTTCATTTATTCTTTTCCAAGTGCTGGTCACTTTCCTTATACACCTACAGAAGTCAATGACTGGATGTCAAATCAGAATTTTAAAAAATGGCTTGCTAAATCAAAGTCCAGTAAATCCCTTGGCGACTTTCCTCGCAAGCTGCTTTTCAACAGAAGAATAACAGTAATGATAAGATCATAATCTATCTGTGAGATGCTATGATTTAATTTTTTCAAGAGAGTGTCAGACATTCTTTGTTATTCCAGGACACCAATAATTCAAGACAAATCCATGTTTTAATACATTTTTACACAAATACAGTATAACTCCTGTATCTGCAGGACTGATAGACAGTTTTGTTTATCCACTTTCAATAAGATACAACCTCTCTAGGCATTTTCTAGGTTTTTCTTGTGCCATAAGTCCTTCATTTCAATAGTGTTGACTATTATTCATATTAATAGTGTTGACTAATTATTCAATTAGTTAAAGAGATAAAGCATAATGCGAGGAGCATGCAAATATAAAACCTATAGATTTCTCTCTCCTCACCGAATGACTAATATGGTACTGTGAATGAAATGTCCTCTTATCTTGGTAAGTTGGAATGAAATTCTGTTCCTTGAGTCATGCTTAGTTTTATATATTTGTGATTGCTCTCTGGACATTCTCATTTGACCATTTTGTATTTTTATTTCATAACTATTTATGAATTTGTTAATGTTTTGTGGAATCAGTTACAAAATATGATATTGCCAGAGGTGAATGTATGAGCTTTCTGCTTATGAGTTTCAAGAATCCTCTCAATATCCTATCTCCAAATATGCCCAACTTATATTTGGATGATATTATTATGATAATGTCTACTCCACCTTTTCAACAATTCAGAACTCAAAATGGCACACAACAAGTGCGCCTATGGAACTCTCTTCCCAATGACATCAGATTGGCCCCCTCCCTCCTGTCCTTTAGAAACTAAAAATCTGGTTATGGAACCAAGCGTTTGAACAGTAGAGGCAGCAATCGAGAATAAGACTCAAGTGTTATGAATGATAATGGACTGACCCGAACTCTGATTTTAAGCTTGTGTGATTTTAAACAAATGTTTTATTAATGTAATGTTTTTAATTAATTGTTTTAAATGTATTCTATTTATGACTATAGTTGACATTTGAATGAATGCCTGTTGTAAAGCCGTCCTGAGTTGTCCTGTCCATCCGCATCTGCCCCCCCCCCCCAGGGTGAGAAGGACGGGGTACAAATATGTGAAATAAATAAATATGACATAATTAAAATCTGTAACATTTAAAAGTTATTTTAGGTGTCTTTTTTGGAACTCATTTCATCAATAATCACCATAGTGTCATAAAGGTAGTTGTGCAGAGATCTCAATTCTTTTCAAATGCTTTGTAATGTAATGAGGATGCTACCATGTTTCTGCCAGTAGGTTTTGCTTTTGCTTTATTTCTTTAAATTAACTTGAATTTGACCTGTGTGCTACAAGGGGCACAAGACTCTGTTTAAATTGCATAAGGTTAAACCACTGAGTATTTGGTGCATATGCCCAATGACAGTGTATCTCGAGAATTGACACTACCAAGGATTCTGCAGAAAAAGAAAAAGTCTGGTATAATATTATGTCAATGAAGGAGTAAAAGTACAGAAAGAAGAATGTGACAGGGGAGTAGAGGCCTCAGACTGGATAGGTGATTTCCAGCTTCTGTGTCAGTGTGCAGATACCAAATTGTGTCAAGAAAAGGAATGAGGGGAATTTTTAAAATAACTTTCATTGAGTTCTATGCAGAGCCAAAATAGAGTTGGTCCTCCCTTTGGGCACAGTGCAGCAAGTGCCTTGCTTATTGAGTCAATTATGTCAACCGATGGTGCTGTGACCATTTCCCACTCTTATGCGACAGAGCTGTGTGTACCATACATACTATTCTCCATATCTAAACTATCCTGCAACCCTTGCGTGTGATACAATACATAACTGCCTTGATAATTATGAAGGAATTGCTCATCAAGCTTGTTTTTCTATGAAGAATGCATGGAGTGCCATTTTCTCTTTGCCTCTTAGCCCAGCCTTGCTGAATCAAAGTCTTCTCACTACTCTGCTGATGTAAAAAAACAACAGAGAACTGGATTCTGTCTTTGCACCCAATCTCAGCATATTTCATTCTATAAAGCCCTACCAGAGAGCCATCCACAGATGAAAGGGAAACGAGGGTAATGCCTCTCTGATCTCCTGTTGTGTACGCTTAGAGCAAACAAGGTATAACTTCAAAGATGGAATTGAGAACTACAGAGGAAGGACAAGCAACACAAGAAGGAAGAATGTCTCAAATACAAAACAAGCGGGCTGCTAATCTTTTTTCTCCCAGAACCCCCACAGATGACGCTTAGCACATATCGAACTGACAGCATCCTTCAAATGGAGGTGTGAATACAAAGAACACATGTAAGCAAGGGAAGGGAAGAATTTAATAACTCAAAGTTTTTAAAATTTACAAGCATTTTCCATGTCTCTTTCACTGTCCCTTCTAAAATTCATAAAAAATGTGTATTGTACGAGTCTGAAACCTTTTGACTGTTGAAAATGTTTAGGATTATATCTGGCTACTGTTGCTGAGGATTATAGTTCAGCAAACTCTGGAGGGTCCTACTTGATCATGCCTGATAAATAATATGACATATATGATAAATTGAATTAGCCAAACCCTTCTTCCCACAATAGTACATAGCATCCATACAGGAGACCTCTAATAGCAAGTAGCACCCATACAGTATACACTATGCGTTAGCCCTGTTCTGAAGTGTCAGGCACTCTATGTCTTCTGCTAGCCAAACACTTGGGACTGCTTTCTCTTGCAGGATCACAGGTAGCCATAAAAACAGAACCAACAACTGCTTCATAATCCATTCGATTAACATTCCACAAAGGAGAAAGTTAAGTATTTCAGTGATTATACCCTTTCCCCCCAAATGAAAAGGGAAGCCAGGCAAGAGTACTAGGGGAGTACTTAAATAGAAGTACTCTCTCTACCTCTTCCAAGGCATTTGCTGTAATGGATCCAGACCTAGGGATCATATGTTGTGACTCCTGTGTGTTACTCGCTATTCTCCCTGTCTCTCCAACAGGTGCAAATGCAAGGACATTTCTCATTCCCAATACAATGGCTTGTCCTGAAGCACCGAGCTGTTTCAAGTCCAATCATTTTTCCATAGGATTGTCAGGCTTCTTGTTCCATCAAGATCCCTGCATTTTTGAAAGAAAATTACATAAGAAGTGAAGCCAGGTCTAGCATGGGAATGGAGCTGTTGGGTAAATGAGTACATGTCACTCTGGGCTGCCTTTAAAGGCAAAGCAGCACGGCTGAGACACGAAAGCTGGCAATCCTATTCAAGTGTCCTGATTTCACATCCCATTCTGGCTCTGTGGCTGTTGTATTAAAGTTTCTACTTTACTGAAGCTGTTTCTTTGCTTCTTCCTAACTCACTTAAGTTGGCATTAGGTTTGGATTGTGAGTGGGAAGGGACAAGGGTCTACCTGGTACACACAAAGATTTAGGACCTACTGTTTCACACACAAGATCCTTCAGCTAATGTGAGGGGTGAAGGGCTTTTCGCCCACGTTCCAGCATTACTTTCAATTTTAATTTTACATTTGGCCTTCCCACAGTTTTAATTGTGTGTTGTCTTATTGTTAATGTTTCATTATTTTATCCATGTTTTATTTTAATTGATTGTATTGTTGTTATTATTGCTTGTATTGTTGTATTTGGGCTTGGCCTCATGTAAGCCGCACCTAGCCCCTTGGGGAGATGGTAGCGGGGTACAAATAAAGTTGTTGTTGTTATTATTATTATTATTATTATTATTATTAGGGCCCTGTCTATTACCACTATGATTAACCATTCAGTCGCCACTGAAGCGAGAGCAATGAGTAAAGGAGCTTTGCCAGAAATGAGGCAAATGACTGTAGTGAGCAAATGCAAACCAGTTTCAAGCTGGGATAGTGATCACAATATCTGCCAATTGTGGATCAGAACCAAACCAAGGAACCTCAGTATCCACATCTAGACTAGATTCCAACTGAGAAAATTAAGATCTATTGCAGTTAGGCAATTCTCACTCAAGACAGGAAGGGCAAAATAAGATGTTTTGCTTTTCAATCTATTGTATTACGTGCTCAAGATTCAACAATTTGAGCACTTCCAACTTTTAGCAGATACAGCTGTAGTTAGCAAAATGTTGTGGTGATTTTATGTATTTCATTTCCCTGCAAAAGCCACAAGGCCTTACTTTAATTTTCAAATTAAAATGGAGAATGTCTTCATAGCCTCCAGCTCCAGTTAGGTCTTGGAAAATGACAAGACCTAACTGTATCTCAATCCCACCCTGCCTTAAAAGTGCTAATTCATCAAAAGTCTCCCACAAGACGTTCTAGCTATAACTGTTTACATGAGTATTGGTTAAAGCATGCAAGAAAAAGACAATGGCTTAGTGGACCCTAGAGAGGAACTATGATTCCTCCTTTTACTTTGGTTAATATTTCAGTCACAGGTGGGACACAGTAGTAAATTATCAGCACTATATCAATCTTTAACTTCCAAGGGAACAAAGCCGGATATTCATCACTACACCCAGCTATTATTGGCCACATTCCAAGCATTCTATATTTCCTACAACTCCCAAGTGACAAAATCAATCCCCCGCCCCTCAACCCAATCAGTATTAAAAATTGGGTGTGTCGGGTATTTGTGTCAAATTTGGTCCAATGAATGAAAATACATCCTGCATATCAGATATTTACATTATGATTAATAAAAGTAGCAAAATTATAGTTATGAAGGAGAACAAAAATAATTTTATGGTTGGGGGTCCCCACAATACGAGGAACTGTATTAAGGGGTCGTGGCATTAGGAAGAGCCACTGCCTTAATGTGTGAATGTGGGACAATCTGAGAATCAACACTGATTTAGGCCCAACTGCGTTCCCTCATCTCTCTTTGAAAACTCTATCCCAGTTATATCCTACCTTGTTCATGCCCAGCATTATTTTTTAAATTTTAAACTATTACATTTGGCCCGGCCATTGGTTTTTAAATGCTTGTGTGTTACTGTTTATTGTTTATTTTTTGTTTATGTGATTTATACTAATTGTTAAACCGTTAGAAATGTAATACAATGTTCTGGTTGCAGATGACACGATAAATAATAATACTAATTGTATTGTATTGATTGTTTTTGTTATTGCTTTTGTTTATTGGTGTACTGTGGGCTTGGCCTCATGTAAGCTGCACCGAGTCCCTTGGGGAGATGGTAGCGGGGTATAAATAAAGTTTTATTATTATTATTATTATTATTATTACTAGCTGCCCCCTGCCATGCATTGCTGTGGCCTAGTCTGTTGATCTGGAAAATAAAGTAATGAGAAAGTGTTGGTTTCTAATATATGCAATGTTTTGATGCTTGTGGGTAAACAGTATTTCTTGCTTTTTCTATTCAGTGTTGATGTAGATTGTCTGGTTTGCCCACCCTGGAACATGCCACATATCATTGTCCTTCTTTAAGGGTCCCTTTCAAATCTATGATACTATATCTGTGTGTGTGTTAATCATATATAACTATACCTATGGCTGGATGGCTCTTTGTCAGGACTTTGATTATGTTTTCTTACCCTGATGAAGAGAGTTGGATTGGATGGCTTTAAGTATTTTCTGTTGGTCATGGGGGTTCTGTGTGGGAAGTTTGCCCCGATTCTGTCATTCGTGGGGTTCAGAATGCTCTTTGATTGTAGGTGAACTGTGAATCCCAGTGACTACAACTCCCAAATGTCAAGGTCTATTTCCCCCAAACTCCATCTGTGTTCATATTTGGGCGTATTGAGTGCTTGTGCCAAGTTTGGTCCAGATCCATCCTTGTTTGAGTCCACAGTGCTCTCTGGATGTAGGTGAACTACAACTCCCAAACTCAAGGTCAATGCCCACCAAACCCTTCCAGTATTTTCTGTTGGTCATGGGAGTTCTGTGTGCCAAGTTTGGTTCAATTCCATCGTTGGTGGAGTTCAGAATGCTCTTTGATTTTAGGTGAACTATAAATCCCAGCAGCAACTACAACTCCCAAATGACAAAATCATAATTTTTTGAGTGATGGTCACTCCTTGTGTAGTGAGACGTTTTGTTGCCAAATTCGGTGTGATTTCGTTCATTGGTTCTTTTGTTTTTAAGGTACTCATTATACACAGCGCATTTATATATATATATAGATTATTATTATTATTATTACTATTATTATTATAATAAAGGCCATGTACCAATTTAAAAATCCCCCCCACACACACACACGACAAAAGGTTCACTTAAGTAGCAACATGTCAAATGCCATAAAAGTATAAGTGCTTAAGCGGCGGAGGGGGAAAAGGAAAGGGCCTCAGGCTGTTAGGAATGGTGGGAGTTGAAGTTCTGGAGGGAGAGCCGAAGTTTGTCCGTGCCTGGTCTAAGCAGTACCTTGAAGGGGTGGCTTTCCAACCCCAGGCGGTCCAGGGGGGCCCGAATCCTCTCCTCCAGGGGCCCCACGCGAGTCTCCATGCTGTCAACAGCCAGGGCCCGTCCTTCTCCGCAGGCTGCGACTCGTCCTTTAAGGGCTTCGGACTCCAGCTCCCAGAATTCCTCGCAATTGCTCGAGGCGCCCGAGGCTTCTGGGAGTTGAAGTCCTCAAGGCGCGCGCTCCCTATTGGGAACCACCGTCGACGTGCCTACGCATAAATCATCCCAGGCAATACTCCTCCCCCCGCGGTGGCGAAATGCCTTCTGGGAAATGTATTCTCGCGACAGGTCCTAGGCGTGGTTTCTCATCGATTGGAGGACTTCTTTCCCCACAATCCTTTGCGGAAGTCTCTTCGCGGCTTTGCGCGGCCGCCGGGCTGCGTGTTCGAATCCCTGCCTTAGAGAAGAGCGGGCTGAGGGAAGGCCGCCACCGCCTCTCTCCTCCTTTCCCCCTCGGCCTTGTTGACTGCCTTCCTGTGGGCTTGACTGGAGCCGCCATGAGCAGGCCTCCTGCTCCCCCTCCGTGCCTCAGGGCCTCGAGGAGAAGGCCCCAGGCGCTGCCCGGTCGAGTCCTCTGAAGCCCTCCTTCCCTTCTGGTCCGGGTGAGGCCCTGCGTTCCTTCGGAGACCATCCACACTGAGGAATTGCCCCACTTTGACCGCCACAGCTTCATCCTATGGGACCCTAGGCTTTGTAGTTCGTTGTGGCACAGGAAGAGAAGGTAAATACCCCCACGAAACTACAATTTCCGGGATTCCACAGCATTTGTGCCATGTGGCAGTGAATGTGTCAAACCCGAGTTAAATCTACAGTGTGGATACAGCCTCTGTTTATAGCCCATGACAAAGGACCAGAGTGCAAACTGGGGTTCATCTACACTACAGAATGAATGCAATTTGACATCCATTTCAGCTGCCATGCCTCAGTTCTATGGGATCAAAGGATTTGTAGTTTGCTGAGGCCCCAGCAACTCTTTGGTAGAGAAGGCTAAAGTCCTTGTGAAACTACAACTCTAAGAATCCCATAGTTTAGTGCTATTTATTTATTTATTTATCGTGTCAGGGGCAGACCAAACTGGCATTGCATTTTTTTAACAAACAAACAAAACACGAAGTTTGCAAGCTTAGTAGTTGATTAAATGTCCTTTGACCAGTATCTGGCCACTTGGGGTGCTCTGGTGTTGCCGCAAGGAGGTCCTCCATTGTGCATGTGGCAGGGCTCAGGTTGCATTGCAGCAGGTGGTGTGTAGTTTGCTCTTCTCCACACTCACATGTCGTGGATTCCACTTTGTGGCCCCATTCCTTGAGGTTGGCTCTGCATCTCATGGTGCCAGAGCACAGTCTGTTCAGCGCCTTCCAAGTTGACCAGTTTTCTGTGTGCCCAAAAAAGGAGTTTCTCATTTGGTATCAGCCATTGATTGAGGTTCTGGGTTTGAGCCTGCCACTTTTGGACTCGTGCTTGCTGAGGTGTTCCAGCTAGTGTCTCTGTAGATCTTAGAAAACTATTTCTTGATTTAAGTCGTTGACGTGCTGACTGATACCCAAACAGGGGATGAACTGGAGATGTCACTGCCTTGGTCCTTTCAGTATTGGTTTACTGCTGTGATGGGAACTTGCTATAGTTTAGTACTGTAATGCTATAAGTCAGACATGGGTAAACTTCTACCCTTTAAAAAAATCTCTCTTTTTTCCCTTTCCTCCCTTTTTTATTTTTAGGAGGAATTTCTCCTGTCTTCAACTTTCTATTTTTTCTACTATCCACTTATCTATAGCCAAAATGTTCTCCTACTTTCGTTGTAAATACTTTATATCCCTCTTAAACTTTGGAAACTTTATTAATTAAAATATTTTTAAGTGGCTGAGGGGGAAAGGAAAGGGCCCGAGGCTGTTAAGAATGGTGGGAGTTGAAGTCCAAAACAGCTGGAGGGCCCAAGTTTGCTCATGCCTGCTGTAAGTGCTTGTAATGAGAACCAATTTGGTGGAGTAGTACTTTGAATATTCAAATCTCCTCTTTTGCGTTCCTTTTCTCTCTGCTATGATGAAATCTGGTGCAGGTTATGGAAGGAAAAATAAAGATATTCTCCTGCTGCTTTTTGTAGGCACTCTTCTGCTGAGATTTATTTCTGACCAAGGATTTGTCCCAGGTTACAAATTGGCAGCCGCTTTTGGGCAACATCATGGATTGGAACACACAGCTCAGCTCTATATTGACCGAAGCAGACAGCAACATAGCCAAAATTAAGGCAAGTTCTGTGACAGAGCAACATGTAAACAGCTGCTCACTCGTATGAAAAAAAAGATACTGAGTTTTGAATAGGGATTTATGTATTTCAGGGAAAATATGTTGATGTTTTCTAGTTTCTGGATAGTTTCCTAGAATAAACTTTCAAGACAAATGAGACTTCTTTGCTGATTATTAAAGTTGGCTTTCAATGCTTTTATAGTTTTATTCAGTAAGGAAAGCCTGAGTTTTCAGATAAGGCAGTGAATTCAGATTTAGGGCATTCAAAAGAGGAAGTGGACATTTAAATTGGCAGAGGTACTCATGATGTCTCCTACCAACATCATTGCAATGTGCAAGCTTTTCTGTCTGCAAAGGCTGGTAGCAATGGTAGCTTAGGATAGTGATTGTTGTCAAGTTGATTGCTTTCTTGCTCACCAGTTGGTCAGCAAAAGGTGGCAGGAGTGATGGCATGGTAGAGAAATGAGTACAATTTTTGGCATGACTGGCAAGGCCATCCAATGTTGTGTACTAAGTTGCTGGTACTAACCAAGCAGGACTGCTGACTGAATTGTTCGATGATAAGTCAGCACTTTTATTAACATCTTTCCTTCAATTGATCTGTTACAGTTTTGATTACCAATTGGATTTTGGAATAGAATGTATTAACTATTGAGCCTTGGCAGATCTTGGACCCATTCACTGTCATTCAGCCTGACCTGCCTCACAAGCAGATGCTCCTATTTACAAACAAATTCAACTTCAGGACAAACCTACAGAACCTATCTTGTTCGTAACTGCCTGTATTAGTAAAATCCTGCTTCAGTTTCTATTTCGTGAAGAAGCCACAACACTCTTCATAAAGAAGCAAGACTTCTTAAATACCACCCTGCAGTTTTGGACCTTGCTTCCTCAAGCTGTATTTTTGATTACCATTTTCTTCTTTGAAATTATGCAAAGAAAAAGGGGAGGCTCCTTTGCTTTTGGAAATCAGTTTTTCTTTATGTGTTTTCTTGCTGTCAAGCTGTTTATTTGCTAAGTTTCCATTCTTGTTTTAGTTGTTTCCATTTTAGTTATTTTCACCTGTTCTGTTTTGATTAATTTATGCAGCAGTTAAAAACTGTTTTGAAATTTTATTACAAAAGGGAGTAAAATGTTACTGCCACATGCCTACTGATGTCACTATAATGAAGCTGTAATACTTAATGAGTACTATATTCCTTCTTGTCAGCTAGTCTTCAAATATTCATGCAGAACATGCTATGAATCTGATGCTACATAGCAACAACTTATCCTCATGCAATTCATGTGTTGTTTCCAATTAGAATATTTTAAGTGTATTATAACTTGCTCTTATCTTGCCTCTTACAGCAGCGCCTGAATGCAACCAGCATAACCTCCAAAGGTATGAATATTCTTTATCTCTGAAACTTTCATAATGCCTTTACTTTCTTAATTTTTCACCAATATAACATCTTCCCAATTGGAAAGTTTGAACAAGTCTCTTTTGACTGAAGTGTTTGTAATTCATGGGGCAAACATAAGGAGAAGACCATGAATATTCAGCAGTATCTCAGGGCCCTTCCACACAGCCATATAACCCAGAATATCAAGGCAGAAAATCCCACAATAACTGCTTTGAACTGGATTATCTGAGTTCACAGTGCCATATATTCTAGTTCAAAGCAGAAAATGTGGGATTTTATTTAGCTGTGTGGAAGGGGCCTGGGATAGACCTTGATTTGATCTGACAAGACAAATGCCCATGCTTAAGCTATTATGTTCATTGTGTGTGCTCAATGTCTGTCTCCTAACTATTTCTACAATAGGTGTTTCTGTAAAATAGCTGAAATGTAACAAAACAATCAACACAAGGCAGAAATGAAAGACTGACAGGCTTGGTAAATAACTTATCATAGAATAATTATCCAGCTACAGACTTAAGGGGTAACCGAGGTCTCTGAACTAGTGAGATCGTGCTTGGATTAAGTGGGTTGCTAGGTTGTTACAGTTTCCATTTTACACTGCAACTGGTCAAAGGCTAACTACCTTGATAGGAATGAACATGGGTTGTTTTATTTTACTTGTAAATTGATATGTTTACAGTGAAGGGCTGCAGGCAGAAGGAGGGTTATTTCGAAGAGGAATTGTTTATTTTATTTGGTATGAGGACCTGTATGAGAAGCAGCAAACTTTTGGCCATTTCATGACCTGAAGTGTGCCTTGAAACTTGAGCATGAGCTTGGTTTATTTTGCTTGCTGACTCTTTTCAAACCTTTTTTTATTTTTACAAGTGTTTGTCTTCTCCTTGATATGTTCTATATATGTCTTTAAACAGAACTTATATCTGTACATTTTAGATGCATCAGTATACTTCTATTCATCAATTTGGGCAAACAGGCTGTTTGAATAGATATGTTAGTTTTTCTATTTTGCTTTTAATGAAATTGAATCTAGGTGAAGAAAACACATGGTTTAAAAAACCTAGCAAATGCAAGGACATTTTTTGCTTGTTGAGCACATATTGCTTATTGTCTAAGTTTATTCTTTAATTGTAGAGTTCCAGTGGAAACTCAGAAAGATATTAGCTGCCTAACCGTAGAAGCTAGAAAAGATGCCCAATATCACAGCAAGAGTATAAAATGAGTTAGAACTGTAAACAAGATCTACTTGGCACTGTGTCTAGAAGCTTCTTGGCTCTGGCTTCTTCTTTGTTAGATGTTATGTGCATGAGCCACCACTGATTCAAACAATTGTATGCAATTCGGGCAAATAAAATATACTAAGCCTCGATAGTTTCCATGCTTGGTAGACTGATCAGATTGGTTGCTTTCTATCTTCCCAGCTGATTTATTGGTGGGCAGAATAAATACTGAGAGTGCTGGTTTGACTGAGCCACAGACTGGAGCACCACCCCTACATTTCACATGTGGAGCTCACCCGTGCTGCAGAATGGCCACTGAAGAGCTTTCTGCCATCTCTAAACAACTACATTCACAATCTCAGGTAATCAGCTCTGCAGTGACACAATATCCCTCTTGGTTGTGAAGGGTTTCTTTATCACAACTGATTGCAGCAAGAAGTGTGCAATAAATCGCCTGCACACCAATGCATTCCCTGCCTGTTCATGCTGCCTTCTAGTTCACACTACATCTCTCCTTGTCCTGAAATGAAGTTTATTGAAAAATGAAAGTTGTTACTTCTGTGCATAAGACTGTAATACCCTAAAGACACCAGAACTTATCTGATCCAGAAAGCTAAGAATGCTCAGCCATGGGTGGGGATTTGGGTGGGGATTGCTAGTGATGGTCATGTGCTATAGATTACAGTATGTTGCAAAGGACAGAACTGGCAAAAACTGCTCTAAACATTCATTGCCTAAGAAAGTCCTGTGAAATTCATGGGGCCACCACAAGTCAACAGGTGACTTGAAGGCACACACAAACTCATACTTCTGTGTGCATCCAGTAACAGCCATTTTGCTATATAACAAGGCATATATAGCACATTCAATTTCACTTCCAATTCTGTAGGATATATGTATCTGGCAGTGGGCCCAGAGACTAGAAAACTGACTCATAGACTTCCTTTTACACTTTTTTTGTTGAGAGTTTGTCTGTATCCCAGAAGTTTCAACAGTAAACAACAATATACACAGCAAAAGTACATCTATTTGCACCTTACCTAGCTGCTAGCATTCACCCAGTTAAATTACTGTTTTCCATCTCTCCACCAACAACTTTAGCCCAATTTAAGAGATTTTAAATGATATTTTAAGGATTTAATATGTTAGTAATTACGTGGATTATTTTATGTCTTGTTTATTTATGTCCCTTTATAATTTACTGAGTTGTTCTTGATTTGTTTTTGTTTTATTTAAAATATTATTTACATATTACTGTCGGCATTGAATGTTTGCCATTGTGTATTTTGTTGTAAACTGCCCCGAGTCTCTTCAGGGAGATAGAATGGGCTATAAATAACGTTTCATTTCATTTCATTTCAAAACAGAATTCAGGGTGTTATATAATAGAATACATGAAGCTCAGTGTGTGGCGTTAGGCAGATTATGTTGTTGTTTTAGCTCATCCTGAGACTCTGATGATAGAATAGAAAAAATATTTTGAATTCCACCTTTGGTTTTTTAAAACTTTAATTTCAATAATGAATGTGATGTCCCCCAAATAATAATACATATCTAAATACCAGTAGTTATTTTTGATCAACATAGCTTTATTGGTTCCTTTGTTTCAGTTGGAGCTTTAAGAGCTTCATATTTTGGTGGAATTTACTGTTGTCATGCTTCTCCTTTGTTTAGGTAATAGAATCCCTTACCCAAGCAGTACAGCGGCTGAAACAGGAGAAGGATCTACAGCAGCAGAGTATCAGTCACCTAGAAGGTAAGAGACATATGCCTGGTTCTGCAATTTCTTTTCCAAAGTTGATCCCTTAGACCATCTGTTCTGTATTTGAAACAAAAAATTATATGTAAATCCTTGGAATACAGTTTCCTTGATGCCCTTGATGGCTTACAGTGTTAAGAAATATACAATATAAAGCCCAAGATGAGATAGAGGTGAGAAGAGAGCAGACAGAAACCTAGAGCAGTGAAGTTTGTCAACCCAAGTGACTACCAAAAGAAGACTGCAAGCAGAGGCCCAAACAGGGAAGAAAATAAGACAGCATCTGCTGAACAGGAGCTCTGTAGACTAGATGCAACCACACACAATGCATTCCTACAAAATATAGGATGGCAGCACTTAATGGAGAGCCTCTCCAGATTAAAATGAGCAAGCAGGCTCCTATGGAAGGCAATAAAAATAACTGAACAACACAAGCTTTCCAAATGTCTGATGTTTCATATCCTTTCCCACCTCTCTGTGGGAGCATCTACAACTTGCCAAGACTACTGAAAAACAGATTTGGGAATACCTGTATCACCTCTTCTGCATCATTGTGTGCCAGCAACCTAAAAGGGCAACCAATACCAAAGGTAAGGTGTAGATGCAAAGTATCCATATGTAGTATTTGGGCCATATTTTTTATGTTCCTTTAGACAAGTTTATAAATCCAGAAACCCACTTGCTTATATAAAAGCCCCATAGAGCTGTATATATAGGTATGCCACACCCCGAGATGAAAAGCAATACTCACAGTAACAAAATTACGTAAGTGTCTGGATTATTCTTCTCTGCACCTCCTGTATTACTTCATATTTGAAGCCATACTGTGTTGTTGACGCTCAGGTTTGGATTCCTTATCTGCATCTCATTTTTTCTTACTACGTCAATCTGTCTGCTTAATCCTTTACTAGGTGAATTTGCTAGTAAGGGCACCTTGCTTATAGTTCCCCAGTGAAACCCCAATAGCAACAAAGCTTTCTCTAGTGAACTTGCAGTAATAAATTGGTGTCAACATCCTATATTGTTCCACATTAATCTGTTATAGCAGCCAAGGAGAGTACTGTTGGCTAATATTTTTGTCCCAACCTGCTTCCTGTTGCAGGGGAGGTAGATCGGCTACGGCACAGTTCCCAGGGTGGCTTGGAGTCAGTACTTGGACACAAGATGGAAGGGTTGAAGAGTGAACTCCGTAGCCTTCGGCAGCAGGTGTTTCAACAGCCTGATGGCGACTGCACTCCTGATCCATTTTTCACCACTGGCATCATGCATGATATGCTAGAGAGGTCAGCATTTGGGTTATTGAGCAAAACAACTATTTTGTTGCAGGAGTGCTGCTGGCTACTGGTTTGTTTTCAGTCTAGTAATGATCTATAAAGAGCTGTATGTTTTGGATCCAGACTCCCTTTATGAGCCTCTTAGAGCTCTTAAGGTCTCCTAGAGAGGCCCTTCTATGTGTCTCACCACCTTCTCAGATTTGTTTGGTGTGAACAAGAAAGAGGGCCTTCTTGGTGGCTGCTTCCAGACTTTGAAACTTCCTCCCTAGAGAAGCCAGGATGGCTCCATTCTCATGCTGGCAACAGAAAATATTCTTGTGCTTTTAGAAACAGACTGGGATTGGTTTTAATATATTTGTTTTTAAATATGTTGTGAGTTACCTTCAGTTCATCATTGGGAAAAATGTGGGGTATGAATGAAATGATAACTGCAGGTCTAGAGCTTGTCATTCAGAGTTTGGATTGGATTGTATCTTATTTATTTGTGGCAGCTTTCATAAATACTGGATTCTAACCCTAAATTCCTTAAATATAGTTCTTGGACTGGAGAGAGTAAACTCCCCTCTGCTCATCTGGCTCTTTGTAGCAAACCATATTGCCTAAGTGGCTCCCATTTAGTTAGAAACGAGTGGATTTGCTTTTTTCCTTTCATTTCTAGACTTCGAAGAGCCAGTTAAATAATTGTTAGTTACTTCCTCTCTCTGGACAGCAGAATGTAGCATCCATTTACTGTATTTCAGCATGTACCAAACTTTCTTGCCTTTTCACTGTAATCCTGCTGTCTTGTAGCTGATGTGGCTGGTTTTGTTTTGTTTTCTTCCAGCAAGAAAGTCCTATGGCAAGAGTATGAGTGCATCAGGAGAGAGGTTGAGCAGCTGAAGCACAAGCTTGGCGAGTAGTGTTTGGTGGCCCTGGTCCCTCGGCCACTTTACTGTAATAGTTATCAGGCTTAAAACTACTTGCCTTGTGGGCCTAATGGGAAAGAGGGGGAAATGACACAATTAAGGAAGTGACATGGCATATTGCACCTTTTAGATCGACAAGAGGAAGATCTGTTTAACCAGACATCTGCAACACATGAAATTAAGAAGACTCAGAATCAATACTGTAAGGTATGATATGTAATAATACTTTACTTGGCACAGTATTATCAAACAGTATTTGGTCCAAAGTGGTTAGATGCAGCCTCTGCCCAAGGTGTTTTATAATCTATATTATGTAGTAAAAAACAAAACAAAAAAACCCAAAAAACAATTAGAGGTGACTGACATGTATCGAGGAAGCTTGAGAATGCTGGTGTAATTTTACCCAAGACATCCACCTAATAGTTATCTTGCCATTATTTCACTTGCCCAGATATTGCTCCAACCTTGGTGATGGTTTCTGTAACTGTAGAACGAGTGTTGTGCTAGAATTGCTGTTAGTCTTGATGTACATTCTCATCTCCTAGTCTTTAAATGTACTGGAAGATGGTGTGGGTGAAGGACAGGCTCCAAAGCTGAGAGGAGTGGGAGGCTGGGGATTTAGAGCTACTAAAATATTTGTCTAACTGCATAATCATTATCTGCTAGTAGTTTTTTAAATTGTTTTTTAACTTTCGTATTTGCCATGCTTTTTTTATATTTATTGGGTTGTATCATGTTATTGTTAGTCCCCTTGAGTACCCGCGGGGAGAAAGGCAGGCTAGAAATAAAGATGATGATAATAATAATACCACCTACTACTAGTACTACTACTACTTATGAGTCACTCAAAGCATGGATGTAGCTATTATACTGTTGTGCTTTGTTGTCCTGGATTGAGAAATGTGGCACAGGGCTGTGGAAATGGGACCATAGGTACAAATGGGTGCCATTTTACATTTGTGTGTGGACACTTTTTAATTTCTGCAGGGGAGTATATGACTGTACCTTAGCTTCTGTCCATCTTGCTTATATGATTTTATTGGAATATTTTTATTTTTTGAGAATTAAAATATCACCTGCCTATGATCTTTCTTTTATCCAGATGCTAGAAGATCTGATGAATACGCACAAATCCCATATACGGGATCTGGACAAAGCTAGGAGTGAGACCCAGAGCACCCAGCTGGAACTCAGTCACGTGAAGTATGGAAAATTATATCATGCTGCAACCATCACAGTGTGCTTGTGATTCTTATATAGAATTGAGATCTGCGTCTTCACTAAAAGAAAGAGGTTACTATTTAGAAGAAGCCAGTCTGGTGGGTGGGGAAATCCCAGCTTGATGGCTAACTGGCCAATGTCCACTAGAGGGCTTCCTAATCACATTGCAGCCAAAATTCCAGAATTTAAAATGAAACCTTCCCAAGAAGATGCAGTTTAAGGTTAAAATTTTGTTTTGACCACTGCCTCTCAGTAAATTGATGCTCTTAGTGCTTTTTTGCAAGGGGTGTCTAAGAAATTTATGTGGCTGCCTGCAGCCCATCACAGAAATATCTTAATTCCTGTTGCTTTCACTCCTTCCTTTCCCTGTTGAATATATACAGCTGTTTGATGTTTCAATCTTTTGCTCTTGGCATCTGATGTGGGTAAGCAGCACAGTAGCCGCCTATTTCCTAAAATCCATGTCTTAAAGATGGAGCCTTCTATTTCAGCAGTTATCCTCTTTAACCAAGAGTCAGGTTATAATGACTTGCGTCTAGAGGACAGAAACAGTTTCTTTTTCTTATCACCCCCTTTTACTCCCCCTGCTTATCTCACAAATTCATGGATAATTTGAAGCAACACCAGACAAATATTAATATTGTACCACAACTTCCCAGTTAGCCTTCTTTTTCTCTAACGGTAGCTATGGCAAGATTTTAATTAGTTTATGAACCACCAAATTCCTATGTCCCTGTCTATAAGCACTTTAGAGTATTCATCATTGCCTTCATTGTGCTACCTATAATTGAATTGCACAGAGGTCTCTGGAATTTAACTGTATTTTGGGGATTATCTGCATTGTGAGCTTGTGTCTCATCACACATCTGTTACTTCCCCTTGAACTAATAATTGCTCTGTGTTTATTTGTTTTTAACAAGATCTTCAATTACCGACCTAAAAGAACAGGTGAAAAGTCTCCACTTGGAGGACAAGCAGTACACTCTGCCATACAAGGAGAAAAGCATTCGCCTGAGTAAGTGCTCAAGCTTGAAACACAGTAGATGACATGTGCCAAACTCAAGGCCAAACCCAGCCCTCCATGTCATTTTATGTGGTCTCTGAATGCTGGACTACAGCTCCTTATTCCTCATCATTAGACATCATGACTAGAGGTGATGACAGTTGTGATGCAGTAACATCTGAAATGTTGCAGTTTGTTCTATTTAGCCAGACTAGTGCGGTTTAAATTTCAATACAAGGCTTGTAGATAGGATGTCTGACATTAAAATGCCCTTTAGTTGATCTTTTAACTGATTCTATTTTAATAGAGGTTTTTTATCTGATTTATATTCCTGGCTTATGTTATGCGTCATTGTTTTCACGTTGATGTATTTTATTTTATATATTATGTATTTTAAGTATGGTGTCTTTGTGTGCTATTTTGTAAGCTGCCCCGAGTCCCTAATTATAGTTGGCTTTCTGTATGCATGGATTCAGCAGCCCTTTGAGGCCACCCTTAGGCAGATGTGGCCCTTCATGAAAATGAGTTTGGCACCCCCTTCTGCTGAGCTAAATCTCCAGGTAGACAAAGTGGGTGCATGTGGTCATGTGTGAAGTGTGACATGAGTAGTCATTTTGCTGCAAGTCCTTTGACTGAGTAGCTGTTGTACATTGTGAGGGGTGACACTTCTCAACTGGGAAGGTCAACATGCGTACTTCAGGCAGCAAGGGGGCAACTTTTAAGTTGGTTATCGACAATCAATGTTGCATTGGGAAAGCCAGCCTAGAACTGCTGTGAAATTCTGTTCTTCCTAATCTATATGAGTCTTTGTCTTCTAGAAAAAAGAAAAGAAGCATTACACCTAGATGCCTTGTTCTCTCTCAGTGATGATTCAGTCTCAGAGTTCAGCCTGACAGATGTGAGCTCAGATGAACTCTTCAGTGAACCAGAGATTCCACAATGTGTTGGTGAGTCTTTCGGTAACCAGTGCACTTCAGAGTATTTTATTGAAATAATTACTATTTTTCCCCTGTGGTCCTTGGCTTTATTTCTGCATTTCTACCTGAGTTTTTATTTTTGTATAAATATGATTCCCAATCATCCAGGAGTCTATTATTGAACATGCTTCTCTGCCATCTTCACTTTTTTCCTGGCATCCCCAGTGGTGGTGCAATGGGTTTAATTCTTGTGCCAGCATGTCTGCTTGACCGAAAGGTCAGCGGTTTGAATCTGGGGAGCGGGATGAGCTCCCGTCTGTCAGCTCCAGCTTCTCATGCATGGACATGAGAGAAACCTCCCACAGGATGGAAAAACATTCGTGCATCCCCTAGGCAGTGTCCTTGCAGACAATTCTCTCACACCAGAAGCAACTTACAGTTTTTCAAGTTTCTCCTGACACGAAAAAAATCCCTTTGTTTCCTGAAATTCAGGGCCATTTGGATCACACTGTGAAACTTCAATTTTGAAAAATACAGGTATTAGTTTTCTTACTAGGGAGGTTCACACACATCTTCATTAGAAACCAATGACACTGCAGACTGATATAGTGCTAGGAAACATTCTGAAAACACATGGGTCCTAAAATAGATGCTCTCACAAAAACAGCAATTCAACAGGATTATAACTCACATGAAAAAACAAAGGTTCAGTGATCTAACCCTGCTTCCAGAACCTGTTCATAATTTTTAAAGCATCTTTGTCTTGAATTCTTACAGTCCAGCTTTTGGTGTGGCATGAAAAAACTAAAGCTGATGTGGTCTATCCATTGCAATTTTCAATACCCCAAATAAGAACAGGCTTAAAAACCAAGAAACCTAGAAAAAAAAAACATTTTTGTTGATCTTTGCAATTAGAGAATTGGACTAACTAAATATCTTTTGTTGCATTTCTAGGGAACAAGGTTTCCACGCCAAGCTTGGAGCTGGAGGAAAATCTTGCTGGAGGAGCCAGTGGTGCCATGCGGGAAAGTGCAGAACTCAGAAATGACCTGTCTGCCAGTTTGCCTGAGCTCAACCTGAGTGAACTCACATAAGAACTGCCTCGTTCTTTCTCATGTGGAAACAAATTAAAGGAAGGAGATACGTATGGATTGCTATTCCCTATTCTGAGTTGCATTTTTGTACGGTTGCAATCTGAGCTAGAAAGAGGACATTACCTCGGTCTACAGCCTGTGCAGTAGCAGTACACCAAAGTATTACATTAATGCCTGAAAACATTCAGAAAAACTTCTGGCTCTTTCAGGGCCTTCCAACATTCCTTTCAGAAAGGATCTGTTAGACTGCAAGTCCTGGTGTTTGTGGAATGGAGCTTCCCTCCAAGAACTAGTTGTTCCCAACTCTTGTAATGTTCAAACAGCTTGTAACCCAAATATTGAGGCTGAGGTATAACAGAAAACACTCTGGAAATCGATGCATCTTAAAATTACAGACTTCATTAGTTTGTTCCATTGTGCATATCCAAACAAAGGTTTCTAGTCCTCCTAGTGCAGCATCCCTAAGTGGAAAGCTGATATGAAAGATACAGTTCTCTGATGAAACATGGAACATATTACACTTAGTTTAGCTAGCAACTGAACTCAGTATTGTTCACAAGTTACCAGGATAGGATTGGTAAGATTGGATGGATGTTATCGTAATTCCCATAGTATTCTCTCTCTCTCTCTCTGAGCTGAAAGAAATACAATTTTCTTGCCCATTTCGCTGCCTAGGGATGTTGCTGTTGGCTTGCTGTTATTTTCTGCCTCTATAAAGTACCACTATGGTATAGAGGCTGTTCTGTCTGACTTATCACTCCAGAATTCTTATTTAAAATCTAGTATATAATGACAGGTCTGTAAAACGTTTTCCAGTGTTCTTCCTTTGGAGCACCTACATTAGGCTTTTAGATGACAAGAATAAACAGGCCAAACTTGTAGCTGTTTTAACTGCTTTTTTCTCTCCCTTGCAAATGCAGACATGAGAAGCACAAACCTATTAAAATTGACATTGAGTTCCCCCATCCTTACGTTTAGTTTATAGCACCTGGGGTTCTTGCATGTGACAGCATTTACATACTGGGCAAAGTTGCCTCTCCCACTCCCTGCAACAGCTTGGGAAATCTCTTAAAAGAGGAATCCCTCAAAGAACAGCCTACAGTAAGAGGCATGTTCAGTTTCTGAGTAAAAGACTTCAGAAGGGAAAAGGATTAAAGGTGGGGGGCGAGGGGGGAATTAGCCCAAAGGGGATTAAATCAACAGATGCTCCATTATAGTTCAAAGAGTTCTGGCAAGCGGCAGTTGTTCCTAGAGCTTATTAGTTTGGGGCTACTCATGACACTGGCTTGTTTGTAGGGCTGGGGAAGTAGATGACAAGTCTGAATTCATGACCCTTGGGCACAACAAATGTAACTGGTTGCATTCCAGGGGTAAATATTTTATGCATTCATCAACAAATGTTGACTTTGGTATTTTACTTTCCATTGCTGTTCATGTATGCATATTTTGCTGGATTTTTTTTTTACTTTTGATAAATGGGAAGGGGCTGAGAAGAAATAAACAAGTTACCCTTGTATTTGAATGATCTTACTTGGTCTGTTATTGCGCTACAGTTACCCATTAGACATTATTCATAATGCTCGAAATGCCACATGGAAGTTCCCTGTTCAAAGATAGTAGAACTGATAATGCAAATACATATTGCAAGAATTTTTTAAAAGTTGTTCTTTAGCCCAAGTGCAAAGCAAGCAGAAACATTGATCACCATCTTGCACTCAGGGGCATGGTGTAAGATAATGTTTTCCAGACTATGGACTGCCAGATGTTTTGGACTTCAGCTCTCAAAATTCCTGTTAGCTAGGCTAGTTGGGGCATCTGAGAGTTGCAATCATCAAATACCTGGAGGACCAAAGTTTGGGAGCCACAGATGGAAGTACAGGAAGTACCCAAGTTACAAACAAGATAGGTTCTGTAGGTTTGTTCTTAAGTTGAATTTTTTTGAAAGTTGGAACAAATACATGTTTGAAATGAAACTCCAGTGTATTGATCTACCTGTCTGTTTGTCTATATGATTTCAAAAGCATAGGGAAGGGTTAATCCTATGGTGCTTATTTGCTGCCTGTAGCACTGTTCAGAAGATTTCACCTCACTTTCTGTCCCTGTGATAATTGGATTTTGAAAAAAACTGACTTGTTGCGAAAAACAGATCGCTGAGACAGCTTCAGTTGCAACAACTTTCCCCCATGATAACTCTTTCAGGAGTGAATTTCCTTTCCTAGGGGTAGATTTCGCTCACTTCCTGTTGTCTGACCCCCATTCTTAACTAGGAGTCATTTGTAAGTCAGGTGCTTGTCAGTTGGGGGCTGCCTGTATACCATTTGTCTTGTCTTCTCCCTGTAAATCCAGTTTTGGCATGCTGTGCTCCCCCAGGACTGCCGTGCAGTGGTCCACGAAGAATGGGAGACATCTGAAGAGCATCTGGAGATAGCAACTCAATAACATGCTACACAGCAGTCCAGGCATTCTCTGCTGTATCCTAGGCATCCTCCAGAGGTTAAGAGGATCATGTCAACGTCATTAATCCAACTATATGAATATAGCCAGATGCTTTTAGATATTATCTGCTCTCCATTGACCACTATATAGCCAGGCCAGGAACTGGCAGCATGTCAAAGGTCAGCTTACATAATTATTTTGGTAATTGTGTGGCTGCCACAGTATTACAGCCACTGCAATGATCAAAACTATGAATGTGCAGGCATATATTGGTCTTACATTAAAAAACATACCAATAAGATGCTAGCCATTCTTATACTTTAGACACAAGAGTACTTCCTAGGAAAATGCATATGCTGCATTGCACATACTTTATTACTTACTCTTGCCCTCAACCTTTACATTCTCTGGTAGTCTTGAGTCAAAGAAGCAGACTAGGATGCCCTGCTGTAATGCTGAAACAAAAGCACCACTTCCATCTATTAAAACGAGCAGGGAAAATACGGCCAGTGAATAACATAGGACCCTCTGAGCTGTTTGTGTGGCCCCTCCGGCAACTTGAATCTTTTTCCAAACCTTTTCTACCTCAAATGTCCCTTAGGTTATGTGGGAGGCGGGCTTGGCAGGTTTTGTCACCTCTTCCCCTGCCACTTTAGGCCGAGGACTGGTTTATTTTCTAATTGCAAGTGACCTAGAGGTTGGTTTAAAATGACCTTTCCTGAAGCAAAAAAACGATAGAGGGCCAAATGTTTGTCCAAATTGCTTTAGCACCACCAGGGGCTGTTGAGGGGCATTTGGGAGCAATTTGTTTCATTTATTTCCTTAGGGGATGCACAGGGTCCTACAGGGTCCTCTGGAAGACTCGGTGTGCCCCCCTAACAATTACCCACATATATTTTAAAGGGACAAGGAGTTTCAAGGGGCAATGCAAATAGAAGTGTTTCTCAAAACAGAGGGAGCAACCAACACAAAATGTTTAAAGCAGCTCAGCATTAACAGGGCCAGTCAAAGGAAACCTGAAAGATATATCTGAATTCGGCTTATCTGCTTTTAACAAATGACATGTGAGAATAAGGACCATGGATGCACCCGGCAGATTTCTCACTTGTTTAAACCTTTGGTTTACGAGGTGATTTGGGAGCATGAGAATGTAGCTTGTGGCATTTAATCATCTCTCTCTCTCTATATATATAAATCTTGGATTGTGAGTCTGTGTTATTGGTTCAAAATAAAACCCTGTGGCTGTTTCTATTTAGTGATTCCATAATAGCCTCATTCTTATGTAACACCATAAGGTTAGCTAGCCTAGATTCCAGCGATTTGGCTTTGCTATGATTTAAAGGCGAAGTACATAAGAGAAATAGAATCTAGGCTTGCACAGGAATCCTTCCTTTCGAGTGGTATCAAGGCCATACAGCATAAAGTTTCCAGTTCGGCACTTAATGTATTAGCCTCTTGATGAAAAAATAGAGGATTTAATATTTAGCATAATATTAATTGAAACTTCTAGTGTTCAGGTACAAATGAACAGCCTTAGTCTGGTCTCCCTGCATAAATGATTTGGAGAGTAATGCTTAAGTGATTCCCAGGATAGGTAAAGGTTTTCCTTGACATTAAGTCTAGTTGTGTCAGACTCTGGGGGGGGGGGGGGGTGCTCATCGCCATTTCTAAGCCAAAGAGCCAGTGCTGTCCATAGACGCTTTCAAGGTCATGTAGTCAGCATGACGGCATGGAGTGCCATTACCTTCCTGCAGAAGCAGTACCTATTGATCTCACATTTGCTTGTTTTTGAATTGCTAGATTGGCAGAAGCTGGAGCTCACCCCACTCCCCAGATTCGAACCACCAACTTTTCAGTCAGCAAGTTCAGCAGCTCAGTGGTTTAACCTGCTGCACCACCAGGCAGCCCAATTCCCATTATTTATATTTATATCTTGTAAACACAATCAGCTTGATCATACAAGCAGAAGTACTTAGGTTGGTTCGATTTGCAGGGTATTCAAATAAAATGTACAAGCTGTAACCAGTTGTCCAGGTTCAGATTCATTTGCAATATCAGGCAGTGAAATGGAGGAATATAAATGAGGCAGTGTGGTGTAGAGATTTCAATGTTGGGTTCCTGGGAGAGACCAGAGAGTCCTGGGAACAAGAGAATAAAGCTGGAAATTGTTCAGACAGCCCTGCCTACAATTTAATTCAATGGTGGGAATCCCATCCTTCCAGATAGTGCTGATCTACAACTTCCATTATCCCCACTATTGGCCATGCTTGCTATGGTCCATAGCAGGTGGAGTACATCAACATTTAGAGGCCAGTAGGTTCCTCGTCCTTTATTTGCTTGATAACATTATTTAAAGCCTAGCACAAATCTATTTTTCCCCATTATGCAGTGAGCTATTTCACACGATGCAGTGGCAAAGGTTTGCCACATGTTCAGTGAGGAACACAGATCAAACCACTATGCCCTCTGGGTGGCCCTACAATCCAATTCCACTTGCACTGCATAGTTAGCTCTAAAGAGTTTAACAAGCTATTAAAACATGACACACACACACACCCCAATCATAGCCTGTAACTGCTTTTCCAGCCAAAGCTCTTCAGTAAACACAGAGCAAAGAATTTCTGCTCCAAAAAAGGAAGTTCCAATCCAGGTTGTTTTTGTTAACTCAATTTTTCATATAAATCTGCCCACGATCCTATTGCTCGACCACAGACATGTGGGAGTCATACTCCTAGCGGGAAGCAGCTTGGTTGCAGTAGTCCCGGTTTCTTTTTATGTGCACACACACCCCGCCCCCTTTTAGCTTCAAAGGTAACCACTGAGATTGATTTCTAGCCTCTTTCCTAATGAACGTAATTATTCCTGAGCCTGGAATTAATAAAAACTAACCCAAGAGGAACCTTCAAAGGCTTCTGTTGCCTTCAAAGAACCATATCAGCGGCTGGCACCTTGCCCATTTGAAGTGCTGTCAAACAGACTCCTCGTTTGTGCAATGAAACCTCAAATATCCTTTTTGGGCTGTCCCCAGGGAAACAGCAGCACTTAAAACCAGTCAGCAAACAGGATTCTTTTCCTGCATAAACCTGCCCTGGAGTTCCTCCGTCTCTCAAGAGGTCAAGCGGGTGAGTGTTATGAAAGAAGGTCTTCTGGGTATAGGGGTCAGAGTGTGAAAGTGCAATTTCACAATCTACTAAGGCCTACTCCTCATGGGCTGAGGCATGCCCAGGTCCTTGCCTTCTTCAGAGAAGAATTAATGGGGGAAACCACGGAGGGATCTAAGGTGAGGGGAAAGCTCTGTGTTCTGCAGCCTCTGCATTGTCAATGCCTAGGCTTTTAGGAGGCCAGGGATGAGGCTGAGGGAAGGTCGCAGTAGTCCTGCTGCCAATGCTAAAAGACCCAAAGGGAGGAAACTGTTCAGGCATGTTGGGGGAGTGATGCCCTTTCCTTCAGACCAGGGCAGACAGTTCATGCTTAAGCCACCAGAGCAGGACAAGCATTCGTAACACCTGTGATGGATCCAATGTCCTCTTTCCAGACAGCAACCTCATCAAGGCAATGCTGGGGCCATGGGTTTTCTCGTCATTCACCATAGAGAAGTGGTTCTCAACCTGTGGGTCTCGAGGTGTTTTGACCTACAACTCCCCGAAATCCCAGCCAGTTTACCAGCTGTTAGGATTTCTGGGAGTTAATAAACCTTTATTTGTACCCCACTACCATCTCCCGGAGGACTCGGTGCGGCTTACAAGAGGCCAAGCCCAAATACATCAGTAAAAAACAACAACAATACAACAAAATGAACTCAAAACAAAGCAATAAACATTAACAAAACACCAGGACACCTTAAAATCTATGGCAGGGCCAAATGTAATACTTAAAATTAAAAATATGCTGGGCATGACCAGGTGAAAAGGGTAGGTACTTGGAGGGGGATGGGGCACGCAGATATCCTGGGTCTCTAGTAAAGTGCATTTGGGGACATCTTGCTTGGAGTTTCCTTATTCTGGGAAGGCACACTGGAACAACCACATTTTCAAGCTCCTCCTAAAAACTTCCAATGTTGGGGCATGCCTGATGTCCTTAGGGAGAGAGTTCTAGAGGCGAGGGGCCACCACCGAGAAGGCCCTGTCTCTCGTCCCCACCAATCACACTTGCGATGCAGGTGGGATCGCGAGCAAGGCCTCTCCAGATGATCGAAGAGATCATGTGGAATTGTAAACAGAGATGCAGTCACACTGGTAGGCGGATCCCAAACCATTTAGGGCTTTATAGGTAAGCACCTGCACCTTGAATTGGGACCGGAAAATGAACGGCAGCCAGTGGAGCTCCTTAAACAGGAGGGTTGACCTCTCCCTGTAAGGAGCACCAGTTAACAACCTGGCCGCTGCCCGTTGGACCAATTGAAATTTTCGGGCTGTTTTCAAGGGCATCCCCACATAGAGTGCGTTACAGTAATCCAATCTGGAGGTGACTAAGGCATGGACCACCCTGGCCAGATCCGCCTTCATGAGGTACGGTCGCAGTTGGCGCACAAATCTTAGTTGTGCAAAGGCCCTCCGGCCACCGCCGATGCCTGAACATCAAGCGTAAGTGATGAGTCTAGGAGGACCTGTGACTTCAGAGGGAGTGTAACCCCGTCCAGCACAGTTGAAGGCCAAAACATCTGGGGACCCATACGTTGAGAACCACTGTCATAGAGGATAACCCTAGCCGGTGGCAGAGGCTGCTACATATCACTTCTCATGAGTAACTGCAGCTACTGAACCTCCCTGCTCATTTATTTATTTATTTATTTATTTGGGGTGCTTCTACCACGCCCTTCTCAACCTCCTAGGGGGGACTCAGGTCGGCTTACAAAAGGCGAAATTCATGAAGAGATGAAGTTCATACGTTTGCACCACTGTGAGCTAACTGTAAGCCGCATGTCATGTATCATGTTCTGCAGTTGATGTTGGTTGGTGGTGGTAGGCCTAGTAGTTGGTGATGGAAGGGTTAATTTATTTCTTAGTTCTAAAGGGTTGAGTAATCTGTAAATAAGAGTTCATGGGTATAAGCAATTAAGGGTGGAGGTATGCAAGAGATGGGTTGCAACTGGGTTTTTCTGGATATAAGGAACTAGCCTTGGGACTAATATTCAGGAGGAAAGTATTTGCTTTATTTTGATGGTAGATGCTGCTGATTTTCCCCCAGGTTTGTGGATTTTCGGTATCCTGACCTGTATCCTGTACTCTGGGAACCCTGGAACCTTGAATCTTTGGACTGGCATTTGACTACGGTATAGACTCTCGATCCCTGGACTTTGCTTATTGAACTCTCGGCGTTTGACCACTGGACTGGACCTTTTGACTATGGTGTTATCCTGAATCTGCAACAGTGTTTGCTGTCAGTTTTTGTTTTATATTCTGTGGCTGAGTGCTATCTTTATGTTTTATGTTTTGGTCTATTAAAACAGCCAGACAGTAAGTGCTGCTTTAATTAAATTGTTTAACACAAACTGGAAGATTGTTTGGTTCATCTCTACCTGAATACGGCAGAGCCCTGGCAACATGACACTGCCTTGGGTCCCTATGGGAGATGGTGGCGGGGTATAAATAAAAGTTTTTAAAAATATTATTTCTTTACTTGCCTACTCAAGGGTAGTCCTTACTTCTTAGGAACTTCTGAGACCTAAAAAACCTAAAAGTTGAAAATATGAAAGAGAAATAGAAACTGGCAAGAAAAAACAAGCGAAGTTTAAGAGAATGAAAACACAAGAAACACCTCTACACTTAGAGGAGGAAACCTCTTTGAGGCTAACATTGAAGATAGTAAATTCCCCTTTCCTATCTCTCATACAACAGCATTAGGGGCAGACTATACACCTCAACACCTGGGACCATATGGAAAATTTAGGCACTAGCAAGTCTAACTTTAACATCCAGACATATGCAATACTTTGGACTTACTTTTACAGAGAAGGCACAAAGTTGTTTCTCTAATCTATGTAATAAGGGGGAAAGAACAGGTAGGGAATGAGGACTATGTGTGTGAACAGTGTGGAGGTGAGGTGGGAATGTAAACGGAAAGAGCCCATCCCAAGACTCTTCTTTCTAGCAAGGACTATTCATGTTGCTGACCTAATTAGCAAGTAAGCAGCAGGAATCTCCAGACACCTTTTCCAATGGAAGAAATAAAGACAGCTATAAAACAGAGTCCCTTCGCTTAGCAGTCAGGGATTAAAACAGTGCTGTTAGGACTGGGCATGTATATTTAAAGATTGGATATGAACTAATTAACGGGCATCTCGTGTGCTATGGCTGAACAGCACAATTTGCTAGAGAAACAGAGAAAACACTGCTTTCTGCCTGTGTTGTTCAAATCACAGCTATCTTTTACTTCACCTTGAACTCACTGTAACTGCTAAGAGGGAAATGCTTCTAGAGGAGTCAAACTATTCAACAGGTCACCAAACACCATCTGCTGCTAAGACTATAACACCAGTATATGATGATTGTCTTCAGTCTCTGTTTGAGCTTTTCCACGGCATCTGCCTAGCTGCTGTGAAGACAGGATGCCAAATGAAATTGAGCTTTGGTTTGATCAGAAGGGCTCTTAAGGAAAGAATCATTTCCCATTTTCCTGCCTTTTTCTCTTGAAACATCTTTGGCTCCTCTGGATGAAAAGTTGAAGCATAAGTGCAGTTAAAACAAAATGAAGTTCAAGAAGGGAACCAACAATGTCTCTAAGTCATAGTTTGTTGGATGCATATTTGCAAGGAACACTCGCAAAGGGCTGGCTTGCTTTACCACTTTCTTGTGTAAGAGTCCTGCAGTGCTGCTACTTGGAATCCAGGCTAGACCTCCCTTTGCATTGATGAATTAGTGCAGTCACCTGATGAGAGACTGTGACACTTTTCCCAGAGTTGTTTGTCTCCAAGCACAGAAAGTACAAAGGGAACAGGGAGAGGTCAGGTTGGCTTCAGTTCTCAAAAAGAAGAAGATAGCCTTATGGGGTAATTTGCTGAGTCACACAACTTGCAAATCAACACAGCAGCTTGCAAATCTGGGAGAGGAGTATCTTCTCAGTTGGGATCCTTGCTGTGTTTGAGCTCTTTTGATTCAGAAGAATTACAACATGGTCTTCAAGTTCCTTAGTAGCTGTATAGGGAGAGAGGCGTATCCTCCATCATGTCATCCTGTGAAGAAAGAGAAGTCTCTCTTGATTTGGTATATAATTAAAGAAATAGGAGTGGAAAAAGACAAAAAGGCAGCAGAACACACATTTGCTCCACATCTGTGTCTTATTCTGGAACTGGGTGTAGATTCAGGCCTCCACAGGACTTCGTTGGTGCTGAATACTATTACTATGGGTTGAGAGCCTTCAACAATACTATTACTATGTTACTGGGGAGGCCTGTTCTCAGCTCCGCCTCTATCACAAGTGAGATTGGCGGGGACGAGAAGCGGGGCCTTCTCAGTGGTGGCCCCTCACATATGGAATTCACTCCCCGGGGAAATTAGATAGCAACATCCCTCCTTTCCTTTAGAAGGAAATTAAAAACATGGATTTGGGACCAGGCGTTTGGGCAATCTGGCAGATAAATAAAGGACTTCGACGACGGATAGGAATAGACAATGTGGAATGAAGTATGAACTCTGAGTTGGCGAACGCTGTGCACGAGATTGGTTTATTGACTGTGGTTTTTTGATGTTTTAATTGTTATAACTGTTTAACTGTTGTTTTTATACGTTTATTGTATTATAGTGTAGGCATCGAATTGTGCCTTTTTGTAAGCCGCCCTGAGTCCCCCCCCCCCTCGGGGGTTGAGAAGGGCGGGGTAGAAGTATACAAAATAAATAAATAAATAAATAATATGAAAATAGTAACTAATGACAAGTGATGCAGCAGGGAAGCATTCTACCCCATTTTCTGATGGGGTTCAACAACACTTTGCACCCAGTGGTAGAACTGAGCACCTAAACAGCCAATTATCAAGACTATCTATCCTTGTCTGGAAATCCAATTCCTCATGGTGCACAAAATGAAAATCTACTGGGCTGGGTTACATGCACTCCCACTTCCAAGTAAGGTCAATATAGTGAAGAAGCAAAAAAAGAAAATCAAAATGTACATATATGAACAAATCCCTCAATTGTTGGTTAGTTTGTTGTTGTTGTTGCTATGTGTGCCTTCAAGTCCTTTCCGACTTAAAGCGAGCAAGCATATCATAGGGGTTTCTGAGGACTAGATAACAGAGGACAAATTGCCTCCCCCAGTCTCTTCCCTTTATATATTTTCCAACTTTAAACATCCAAGCTAATGCAAAAGTGTTTCAAAAAAACACACTACCACAAATTAAGCCTTACTTAGTGTGACCTTGAACACATCATACTCTCCCAGCCTCAGAGGAAGGCAAGGGCAACCCCCTCTGAACAAAGTTTGCCAAGAAAATCCTGTGATAGGGTGACATTAATGTCGGCATAAGTCCAAAATGACTTGAAGACACAGAACACCAACACATACCACTGATTAATATTTGGCCATGACACTAACAAGGACTCAAAAACCATCTCTCTGCTGGTAGATGCCAAATTTAATACACCCTGAAGAGCTTGTGTCATGTTGTTCAGCAGCCAGCAATTTGAAAGTTTTTACCATTTCAAAGAATCACTATTTTGGGACATCCTCAATGAAGTGAGTAGATGCTATAATGCAATTATATCAACAAAGTCTAGAAATATCATTAGGTCTGAAATAATCTAACTTACATTGCTCCCACTGGTGCTAATTTGTGGTGCTCATTTCCAATCATTTTCAAAAGGAATAGCAATATATAAAGTGGGTAACCCAACTAGACACACGACCTTTCCCCATACATTCACTGGAGAAGGGTTTCATGGAAGTCACAAGAGATTTCTATCTGCCACATCCAATCCTTCACAAATCCCATTTAGAACACCTTCCAGATTAGGACTGATTAGCAATATGAATTTCACCTCCTGGTTAGGAGCCGCGATGGTGCAATGGGATAAACCCTTGTGCCAGCTGAACTGCTGACCTGAAGGTCAGTGGTTCAAACCCACGGGACGGGATGAGCGCCTGTCTCTCAGCTCCAGCTTCCCAGGGGATGCCAAGATGGTAATACATCCAGATGTCCCCTGGGCAATGTCCTTACAGGCGGCCAATTCTCTCACACCAGAAGTAACTCCAATTCACCTATGACATGATAAATAAAAAAACCTCCTGCAAATACCTCCTGATCATGACATCAAACAATGCCTTTTAAAGGGAACCCTCCCTAATTCAAGAGCAGGGTTTGTAAGGCAGAGCAAAGCATCACACTTTGAACAGGGGCAAGGGTAGATGTAGCCATCTGTGAACATGATTATAAGCTTTTTTTTACCATAGGCAAATCCTGAAGTCGCCGAAACTGTAGACGACCACTGTGCTGACGATAACGCAAGAAACCCATGAGAGCCACAATTCCTACTATAATAGTGAAGCTGAAGATGACAGCGATCATCAGTGGATCCTCCCGTATGGGGGTGGATTCCATCATACTGGGCAGATCTGTGAGGAAGAAATTGTGAGATGCTAAAATTATAGATAATGACCATGCACCTATCATCTGTTTCAGAGAACTATGCTTCTATCATCAACTTCATACAATGTTGTTCAGTTCATCTACTGGGCCTCCAGATGATGTTGGATTATAACCTCAAGATGTTCTACAACTGTAGCCAATGGTGAGACATGATGTGCCACATAGCTCCAAATATATGGAGAAGCCATAGTTGCTCAGAGCTGTTCTGCAACAGGCCAGTCCATTGATCCACTGGCTCAGTGTTATCTACTGAAACTGATAGCAAATCCAAAAGGTCATAGTTTATCCTGAAAATGCCAAGGATACAGGCTTAAACCTATTTTTCCATTAAAGTATTCATTCTAAAGAACTTCTCAAGCTTGCTCAGATACAGGAATATCCCCACACTACCTGACATATATCTAGCCCACAGTCCACTTTGTCCTTCCTGTTGCCTGACATGAGATAAAGTCATTTCACTGTTTACCTCCACCATCATCTCCCATCTCAGCAACAGCTGCCTTTTGTACATGGTGGTTAGCTGGTTGTTCTGTTTCTACTGGTTTGACACTGTGGACCAGGAGTGTGGAAGAGACAGCACCAGATGTTGTGATGGTACTAGATGAAACCCCAAGAACTCTTCCATCAGCAGCAGTTGGAGTTGATGTGGATTTGATAATGCTTTCCTCTGTGATTGCTTCATGGCCTGTCTCTGGTGTGGTTTCTTGTCTCCTTTCCATAGGTTCCAAACTGCTGAGTGTGGAAGATTGTGGCTGGGGAGCTGTTGGCCCTGCAGAGAAAGATCAGAAAATAAACGAAGAGAGCAAAATGCTAGTTCTCGTTGGCTCAGAAACAGAAGATCAGGGTTTTAAATGGCCACTTTTTCTTTAACTGTCAATATAAATCTTTGACATAGATAGAATTGGTTTCATAATCCACAGTTGGCTGTTAATAATTGATGAACCTGAAGTTCAAAACTCCTGGAGGGCTGAAGTTTGCTCATGCCCACTCAAGACGCTCCAGTAGGAGCTCACTAAGCATAGCATTGCCTGGTCATGACAGCAATGGTGCTGTGATATATTTGCACATCGACCTTTTTCACATTGCTTCCCTGCTTTCATATGGAATGCAACTTGAATGACTTATTCAAATTGTAGGATGTGAGGTTTTTATATTTGTAAAGATAGGAAATCTCAAAGTGAGTCCTGCCAACCTTCAACTCAAGCATCACCAGAAAGTGAGCTCCACCAAGTGAAACCTTAAGAGCCATTTCTTTATTTTCAAACATTCCATTGTTTTTGGGTTTTTTTAGTGGTTTAATGGATAAAACAACTACCTGGAAGGAGTTGTTTAGTGGTCAGAGATCCTCTGTTATCAGCTGAATCTAGGTAGGAGACAGACTGGCATAACTTACCCCAGATCAGTGGTCCCCAGGTGTTTTAGCCTACAACTCCCAGAAATCCAGGCCAGTTTACCAGCTGTTCGGATTTCTGGGAGTTGAAGGCCAAAACATCTGGGGACCCACAGATTGAGAACCACTGCTCTAGATGGACCAGACAGGTTCACATGCAAGCTTTATTTCACACTGCATTGTGGTATCTCTTGGAACACTACAGCATCAGCAATCAATTGTCTGCTCATACTCATCAAGGCAAAAGGAAGAGGGGCCGACCAAGGGCAAGATGGATGGATGGCATCCTTGAAGTGACTGGACTGACCTTGAGGGAGCTGGGGGTGGTAACGGCCGACAGGGAGCTCTGGCGTGGGCTGGTCCATGAGGTAACGAAGAGTCGGAGACGACTGAACGAATGAACAACAACAACTCATCAGGGAGATAGCTGCTGTCAAAATCAATATATACATCAATATGTGTTTTCCATCATTAGTTTCCAATTCATCAGACATGGTTTTTAAAAAATCTCCCATAAGAGAAAAAAAATCTCCCTGAGATAAAGTATCTTGATATAATTAGGACTGGCAAAAATAATCAAAGACAAATCTAACAGCTCTGACTCATATAATGCAGTTTAACTGTATTGAACTGCCCTGTATGAGTCTACACTGACCATATAATGAAGCTTCAAACTACATTATATAGCAGTGTAGATGGGGCATTAGAGTACATAATGTTCCCCACAGATCATAAACACATCCGAAGCACAGCTTGCTGTGACAGTTCCAACCTTTAAAGCCAGAAGGCAGGATTTTTATCATGTAGTTGTAACTTGGATCTTATGTTTATGGCATGTTTTTTAAAGTCGTAGTTTTATAAATTTAAATTAGCTTCAGTATTGGATACGCATCCCATGAATTCTTAGGCAGAAGTCAAGAGCAGTTCTTCCCATTGCAGTTTTGTATGCAATGGATTGTGTACAGGGCTATGGGAGGATCTTCTGTTTATCTATCCCACCACTGCCACCAACGTGGGCATCTGTCCCACTCCTCTGGCCATCTAAGGACCTCTGAAAGACCCTCATGATTCCTGTGTGCGACTGTATTCCTCTCAACTGCCCACCAGGCCCACCACCCTTCATTTAATGCTGCCAACTGAAATTAAGCTTTCCAATATCCCACAAGTAATGTTCTTGTAGGCAAAGGCGTATAATACAAAAGGCATATAGTACAAAAATAAAGATTACAAATTTAATACATCTAAATTCTGACTCAAAAGCCACTGTATTGGAGGATTTCAGTACTGGACTATGACTGGATATGAGGGTTTGACCCCTGCTCTTCCATGAAAATCCACTGCGCAATCCTGGGTATGTCATAGCAAAGGTGATAAAAATACAGCACAACCCATTAAAACACCTCCTGCCAAGGTCCCATCTAAATTTAAAAAGTGTCTTCTTTGTACTCACCTGTGATGGTGGTGGGACCAAGAAAAAGGATTCCCCTGGAGATGTTGAGATTTAAAAGCTGTCTTACATGAGGAGATAAGGCTTTCAGATAGCACAATATTGGATCCTCAAAACCTTTCCAGCTGTTCTGCATAGCAGGGTTATTGGGGCTCCTTGTCCATTCATGTTGCCTAAGGATGCAACTCTATGCCCTAGGAAATTATTCAATATTTACCTATTCTTACCTTGTGTCTCTGATTGAGAGGTCTCTGTAACTGTGGAGTTAGGGCCGGAGGTATCCCAAGACGTGAAATTCATGGCTTTGACATCATTCAGAATAGACTGGTTAGCTTCCACGAGTTTTGCTGTTGGACTAGAAAGTGAAGGAATGCCATTGCTAATATTAGTGACATGGTCTGTACTCTGGGTTGTTGTGGTATTCAAGAATCCAAGTGTGGTAAGCGCCAGAAGTTCAGGTGGGGTAGAGCTGCTGACATTGAAGTGCGGAGTGACTGTGATATTGCTGTCTTCTGTACTGGTAACAATTGATCCATTTGTCCAAGAGCTGAGGTTGCCAGTATCACTGCTGAATGGAACTGATGACACATTCTGTCCACATCCTAGTTTAGGACAGAGAAAAAACAAAGGTAAACTAACATCACTATCATCATTGTAACAATTAATCAACTACCAAGCTTGCAAACTTTGTGTTTTGTCTGTTTGTTTGTTTGTTTTGTTAGAAATGTAATACAAATATTTGGTTGCTCCTAACACGATAAATAAAATATCATTGTAACATATGTTTTTATCTAGAGCAGTGTTTCTCAACTTGGGGGTTGGGACCCCTGGAGGGGATGCAAGGGGGTGTCAGAAGGGTCCATCAGAAAACAGCATTTTTTCTCTTCATCATGGGGGTTCTGTGTGGGAAGTTTGGCTCAAAACTATTGGTGGTGGGGTTCAGAATGCTCTTTGATTGTAAGTGAACTATAAATCCCAGCAATTACAATTCCCAAATGTCAAGGTCTACTTTCCCCCAAACCCCACTAATGTTTACATTTGGGCATTTGGGCATATTGAGTAAACTTGCCCAGTTTGGTCCAGATCCATCATTGTTTGAGTGCACAGTGCTCTCTGGATGTAAGTGAGCTATAACTCTAAAACTCAAGGTCAAAGCCCACCAAACCCTTGCAGTATTTTCTGTTGGTCATGGGTTATGTGCCAAGTTCTATGTGCCAAGTTTCATTCAATTCCATCATAGGTAGAGTTCAGAATGCTCTTTGATTGTAGGTGAACTATAAATCCCAGCAACTACAACTCCCAAATGACAAAATCAACGCCCCTCCCCTCAACCCCACCAGTATTCAAATTTGGCTGCAGCAGGTATTTGTGCTAAATTTGGTTCAGTGAATGAAAATATATCCTACCTATCAGATATTTACATTATGATTCATAACAGTAGCAAAATTACAGTTATGAAGTAGCAACGAAAATAATATTATGGTTAGGGGTCACCACAACATGAGGAACTGTATTGGGGGTCACGGCATTAGGAATGTTGAGAACCACTGATCTAGAAGGTCAGGTGCTACAAACTAGACAAAATGAGATTGCAAGGAACTGAGCCCACAGGATCAATTCATTACTGTGAAAAGCCAAGCAAGGTGTGGGAGGTAGCTCTCCTTAAGATTCATTTTCTAGCCTCAATGTACCTATCATGCTTTCTACAAAAAAAAAAAATCTCCCAAATCTCGCCACACACATACATGCACACTTCTGTGCTGACAAAATCAAAGCACTGGGGTTTCCTTCTGCAACTATAGGAAATAAGTTGTACATAATTGCTGGTGGTCATTGATGGGCATAGAATTGGAGAAGATTCAGTAGATTTATCACCTGATGGACCCTAAAGAGTGCTGTCTCCTCGGATACCCATACGTGCATTTATCCAAACCGCAACATATTCCATTCTCATTATACAATACAAAATAAAGGGTTGAACACACTAGACTACACTTGAAAGCCCTAAACAGTTCCGGCCCAGTATACCTGTCCCTCTACCAACTACCAAGGATGCTAAGATCCTCCAGGGAGGCCCTGCTCTTGGTCCCACCACCTTTGCAGGTGCAACTGGTGGGGACAAGACACAGGGCCTTCTCTGTGGTAGCTCCTCGGCTGTGGAACTCCCTCCCCAATGAAATTAGGTCTGCCTCCTCCCTCCTGACCTTTCGTAAAAAACTCAAAACCTGGTTGTAGGCTCAAGCATTTGAACAATAGTTGGAGCAACTGGAAAGAGAATGTTTTAAATGACCACAATAGCTTGACCTGGACTATGATTCTGAACTGGCAAAGTATTTTTAAATTGAATATTTATGATTGTTTTTAATTGTTGTTTAACTGTAACCATAACTGTGTTTTTAATGTATTGTGTTGGTATCTAATGGCTGCCTATTGTAAGGTGCCCTGAGTCCTCTTGGGAGGTAAGAAGGACAGGATATAAATGCTTCTTTAAGAAGCAAATCTTAAAGAAGAAGGTTAAAAAAACTGGTAAGGATTGGGCACAGAATGGTAAATGACTCTTGTAATGGGTAAGACTTGAGGACCATTCCAGCAGATATCACAGGTGGCATCCTGAACATAAATATTCCTTCTCTCCAGCAGCAGTTTTCTGCAGTGAGCCATTTATTGTTGTTACTATTTTATATTCTTACATTTTTAAAATAGAACAATACAACTAAAATGCTAAATACTATGTGCAAAATTCTCCAAGACATGGGCCAGATGGAATTCCATTAACAAGAAAGAACCATCTGGAACAGCAGTATCTCAGTTTCCACTAAAAGCCACCCTCATATTAATACATACACAATGTGAGACTGTATAACAGCCAAGATGTGGCTATGCTAAGGTTTGAAGTGAAAAGAGAGGATGCATAATATGGGACTTGTGGGCTGTTCAGCAATTTGTTTAGCCATACCGGAGACAGGTTCAGGGTGTTTGCAATACTGGCAGTGACATAAGTTGTCAAGTGATTTGTACCTCTCATCTCTGCTCCTCTTTAGTTTCTAAAGAGTAAGTGCAAAATGTTTCACCCATTACAGCAGCTGCTTTTTCATTTAACCCATATGCTTCAGTCTAGTATTATAATACAATAGTGTTCCCTTGTTATTACTTTAGTTCGGTGGTTCTCAACCTCCCTAACGTCGTCACCACTTAATACAGTTCCTCATGTTGTGGTGACCCCCAACCATAAAATTATTTTCGTTGCTACTTCACAACTGTAATTTTGCTACCATTATGAACAGTAAATATCTGATATGTAGGATGTATTTTCATTCACTGGACCAAAATTGGCACAAATACCTGATACACCCAAATTTGAATACCAGTGGGGTTTGGGGGGTTGATTTTGTCACTTGGGAGTCATAGTTGCTGGAATTTATACTTAACCTACAATCAAAGAGCATTCTGAACTCCACCAATGATGGAACTGAACCAAACTTGGCACATAGAACTCCCATGACCAACAGAAAATACTGGAAGGGTTTGGTGGGAATTGACCTTGAGTTTTGGAGTTGTAGTTCACCTACATCCAGAGAGCACTGTGGACTCAAACAATGATGGATCTGGAACAAACTTGGCATGATGCTCAATATGCCCAAATGTGAACACTGGTGGGGTTTGAGGAAAATAGACCTTGAGATTTGGGAGTTGTAGTTGCTGGGATTTATAGTTCACCAACAATCAAAGAGCATTCTGAATGCCACCAACAATAGAATTGGGCCAAACTTCCCACAAAGAACCCCTATAACCAACAGAAAATATTGTGTTTTTTAATTATCTTTGGCAACCCCTCTGACACCTCATTGTGACCCCTCCAGGGGTCCCGACCTCCAGGTTGAGAAATGCTGCTATAGCTGATGCAAAAGATGTCTCAAGTGGCATCTTGCCATCCCACAGTGTTCAGAATCCCCAAAGATTCAACCATAATAGCAGAAGAAAAGAGTGATGCAAGAAGAAAGAAGCCACACAGAATGTGATCATGCAGTAAAGCAAGAGTTAAAATTAAACCTCTGTTCCCCCTCCAGTGTGACAAACCACACAATTATGGTTCCTCAATAAGCTTTTTACTCATTATATTTCAGTCCTTGGTCTCTGCTGAGACAGCTGTTTATAGCAGACCTGCAATTATTCCTCTTTTGCAGAATGAAAACACATGAGTACAGCTGGGTTACCATCTCTGTCCAGACAAAACAACAACGCACACGCACTGCTTGCGGCAAGGAATAATGGGAAACTCAAATCATCAAGTTCAAACCCTAGGGCAAAATGTTTCCTTGAATGTGAAACATGAGAAGGGGTGACGGAGAACACTCCTGTGGCCATCATGATGTGGGCCTTGGCTATATTTTTGGGACAAGAAATAGCATAGTGCCTTGTGGTTTGATGCCTTCGCCAGTTCTATCTTCCTATAACTGTGTGACCATAGTAACACTGGGCTACTAAGGACTTGATGGTTGTGTTTTGCAAGTTTGCACCATGCACTCTTTAAAAAGGTATCTAACAAATGTTTCCTCTCTTTAATGTAGAAACACCTTTAAAATTAACTGCTTATTATTTTTGCATGAGCTTTTTTACATATAAACCCACTTCTTTCCACACAATCTAAAAAGTGGATCTATATCAAGAAAAATTAAAAACAGTTAGTCTTAAGCATACTACTACATTCCTTTTTTCTCCATTCCCTCCTTTTTACTCTGCAAGAGACTAGCATGGCTTCTTCTTTGGAATCTCTTAGGTAGTCAACCAAAGATACAAGAAAACTTTGATCTCAGTTATCTTCAGTGATCTATAGCAGCAGTTCCCTTACATTTTTGGCCATGGAACCCTTTAGAAGACTTTTTCCTCTGTGCAACCCTAATTCTGTCCCTGATTTTCCCACAGAAGCATTATGGATTCTATAGATCTGCATTTTACAAACGCTGTTCTGCAAAACCCCAGGGTTTTGCAAAGGCATCATAAGGGTTCAATTAAAAATATTTAAAATCTTTTAAAAATATTTTTAAAAGCCTGTGTCAAATATGAAGATTTTCTTGAAATTCAGTGTGCCTGTGCTCTGAAACCAAAATTTAATCTGTGCCACTAAATGACTTTTCAGTACGACTGATGGACGTATAGTAGCTTGTGCGCCAGCTGCGACTATACCTTGAGAAGCCTTGGCCATGGTGGTCCATGCCTTAGTTACATCCCATCTAGACTACTGTATTGGGCTTCACGTGGGGCTGCCCCTGAAGAGTGCCCAGAAACGCCAACTGGGCTAAAGAGCTGCAGCTAGATTACTCACAGCTGTTGGACCCAGGAAGCGTGCAACTCCTCCACTACAGCACATTCACTGGCTGCCAATTTGTTTCTGAGCCCTATTCAAGGTGCTGATGTTGACTTTTAAAGCCCTAAACAGTTCAGTTACTTATCCGACCACCTCTCCTCATCTCAACATGCCTGATCCCTAAGATTGTCAGAGGAGGCCCTGTTCTTGTTTCCGGCACTGTCCCAAATGCAGCTGGCGGTGATGAGGGAGAGGACCTTTTCAGTGGCCGCTCCAAGCCTTTGGAACACCCTCTCC